TTTTGTATATACTTATGTTTTTGTACGTTATAGAAATTCTACATAATTATTTATCATTATTTTCCTCTTCTTCCTCCTCCTCCTCCTCCTCCTCCTCCTCCTCCTCCTCCTCTTTTTCTTCTTCTCCTCCTTCTTTTTCTTCTTGTACATAATCATTTCTATCATCAGTTTAATGTTGTTATTATCATCATTATTATCATTAATTAGTTTTTTTTTCCTTATCTGTCTGTATTACTATTTTAACTTATTCATTTTGTACATGTCGGTCGGGGACCCTACTGGAAATAAGCTCTCGAGCTTTCGTGGGTTATCCTGTTTAAGCTGACTTAATTTTGATCTGCTATTCTTGTATATTGTATGTTGGAAGTTTGGCGAATACAAATCAATCAATTAGGATCTTGGCAATGAGGGCTTCGTGAAATGCAAAGCTTCTTCTTCTTCTTCGTTTGGTATTATAATGGCTATTAGTCAAATTTGACTATTGTTGCCAATTTCATCGCATCTCTTTCTTTTAATGTCTTGGTAAAATTATTATTTTTCTTTCTTTTTCCAATCTCATTTTAATATAATATTAGTCATAGTCTACCCAGTGTTATGTAACAAATTAAAAAACAAAAAATTATTTCAAATTAAACCACGATCCGCACACAGTTCCAACTGACGCTGGCCCTGTCCTTTCTATTCTTACCAGCCCAGCGAGTTACGTTACGCCGTACGCTTCTCGGTTGATAAACTCAACCTAGGTCACTCTGGCATAGACAAGGGGGCGTCGTGTACCTGTATGTTTAGAGGGTTTATTTATTTATTTGTTAACGTATATTAGGAGAAAAACAACTGCAAAAACAGGCATAAGCAAAACACTTGTGGGCTTTATTAGTTTATATGAGTTAGTTCATGAGATTATTTATATAGTGCATGACTTTTAACTACTATAATTGTTTTATTTGTTTTAATTATTTGTTTGTTTTATTTTATTTTTGTCAAATAATTTAAAAGAGGCCTAAATAAGAGATAGGTCTATACAATCAAAACTTCAAATAATCAATACGCTAATAGGCCTATATAAAGTTATACACAAAATACCTATTTTCTCTTCTATTCAGTTCAAATTGATTGCGGTTTCTGTTTTTCTTTTCTTTTTTAATTTAAAAAAAAAAATTTTCTCTTTTTAATTTTACTCTTTACATAATCGCTTCGTTCTAAAAACGAAGCGAGCAGTTACCATTATTTTGTACACGAAAGTCACTTTTTCGTAAACATATCACAATGTCCTCTTCCTTGGAAATATTAACTTCTGACATTAACATGGCCCTTATATACTTTCAACATTTCTATCAAAACATGTCTGACTGTTTCTATTGTTGGACAGCTGTCACAGAAACCTGTGGAGTGGATGCCCAAACGTAGGACGTCCTGGTTGATTCCAGACACTCGCAGGCGTATAGTCGCCTAAGAATAGTTTCAGATTTTCTTCCCAATTTACAAGAATATTGTGAGATAATATTTGGCTGAAGGATTTTTAATGCCGATTGGGTATCATTCTACCTTCCTTGCCAAAGTACTTTGAACTGTACAAAATTAAACTTGTCTTTTCAAATAACGTCAATTTATTATGCATTTCAATTTCCAGAGTTAGAGCTTTTTTGCGTAGAAGTCTGTCTTTTCATTTCCCACTATCCCACAGTGGCCTGGAATCCATTCCAAAGAGATTTCGATCCCTCTATATTTCAATCGGGTCGTTATTAAATATTTCTGTGACAAAGGATTCGTCACTGAAATGTTTCAGGGCTGTGAGGGCACTTAAAGGTACTATGTCCCATTTGCAGGCCCAAAAAATGAAAATGTGAAATTCCAACGGCATTTGAAAGATAATACTAATTTATAACTTCCCTAAAAAAAGGGGGGCTTTAAAATGTCTTTAAGTGGGAAATAACGACTATTAGTTGTCGAATCGACTTAGGAGCTATAGAGCCAGTAAGTAATTATGATTTTCAGACCATTGTACCGTTTGGTCGTACGTTTTATGCTGCGCAAAGATTCAATCAGTTTAATTTTTGCCATTACAAGAAGTGGGTTATTGATGTAGACAATTGCTCATGTACCCTAGTGTTATTACCAAAGAAGAAAAAAGCCAGTCATGCACTCAATAGTGTCTGACAGTAAAGTCTAGCAAGTAAACGGGTTTCCTTGTATAATTTGAATATTAGGACACTGCTAATGTTTAAATTTCACAGATAGGACATACAATGACATATTCATAATTCTTGCAAAGTTCTACAGAATTTGATGTTGGCTGCAAAAGGGACATATAGTATCTTTAAGCAGTCGCTAAAAATGACTGCACCTGTATAGATATTTGTTTCTTCGATCCATTGAAGGGCAAGAACAATGGCAGCAAACTCGGCTCTATATATACGATGAGGTAAAATTCGCTAATCTTGTATATACAGAAAAGTGTGGGATATAGAAAGCAGCCGAGTAGATCCATCTATTATGCAACTGGTTCGACCATTTTGAATTAATCAATTCTAAGCTTTGTTGCTGTAGTTCATTCGGATGGTCGGCTTTTGAAATCCGAGAGCTCAACTTGGTCGAAACCAGTGGGGGTTCAAAAAGCCATGGCGGGAATGGGGATGGTACGGCAGTTTCTGTCATGAAGTTTTTTAAAATACTACTCTGGGTTCTATATACCCGAAAGGTTTATTAAGAAAATCTTTTCCCTTGAGATAATCAAATTGCCAACATGGCCCTATATATGTTTTGTGATAATGGGTGGTTTGGGGATCTTCCGATACTTTGTCTATATTTACTTGACACAATTTTTTGTCTCCTTAGATCCAAGGGAAATTCACCCATTTCCACTTGTAATGAAACAAAAAACTTCAAAAAGAACAACCCAATTTCCATATGAGAAACAAAGTCAAAGATATTATAATCCAAGAGTAAGGTGAGAGTGCGACCTATCCGGGTGAAGACGTGGTTGTTGTTGTTGTTGTTGTGTTTTGGCTTATTGGCGATTAGTCAGTAATTTGACTGTCGCCAAAATACTTTACGGCACGTGTTATATCTCTCATTTTTGTATTTAAAAAAAAAAATTTTTATTGCGTTTTATATTTATCTATCTTTTCGAAAAATAATATCGTAAGCAAAACATTCATGGGCTTTGTTAGTGTTTCTTAACAGTACGTGCAGATTATTTGTTATATCACATACACACCATAAATATGTATATAAGATATTACCTACATAAGCCTCTATATTCAATAATCTTATAATTTATCATTGTTGTTACTTTTTCTTATTTTATTTTGTTATTACATTATGTTATTATATTTTTCATGTACTGAGTGTAATTTAGCATATTTATAATATTGTATTTGTTTTACTGTTCTTATTTTATTTTCTTATTACATTATGTTATTATAATGTACTGAGTGTAATTTAGCATATTATAATATTGTATTATGTTTTACTGTTCTTATTCTATTTTCTTATTACATTATGTTATTATATTTTTAATGTACTGAGTGTAATTTAGCATATTTATAATATTGTATTATGTTTTACTGTTCATCAAGGAAGGTATTACTTCCTGATAGGGAACCGTTTCGTTCTGAGAACGAACCGTACAACAGCTTTTTGTATACTGGACTCACTCTTTTTTAAGTATTCCATAACTTTTTCCGGTTGGGATTCGTTTATTTCTGTTAAAAACGTAGCCCTTTCTATAATATAGTTAGGACAATGTACTAAAAAGTGTTTTACAGTCTCTATTTAACTGGGACATCTATTACAGAAACCAGTATAGCATGAATTCTCAATCTGAGGAGATCCTGGTTAAGTCCAAGGACTCCAAAGCGGAGTCGATGAATTTTATTGTTGAATGCTGTCTCTCTAAGGAACATTATATTGTTTATTAACATCTTTTTGAAATGTTTTCAAATACGAGTTGGTTTTGTTCCACCTTTCTTGGTAGTGAAGTATGGTAGACGGAAATAACAAGTATATGGTAGACGGAAATAACTTTCTGCCAGTGAAACTTATTTCTATATAATCATACTGTTATGGAATTCTTTAACAAGACTTACATTTTTTTAAATATAATTGGGGATATAATAGTAAAATTGACTGAGTTCGATTAAGAAGAAAAACAAATTGTTTGGAAAGAAAAAAGATCTAATTTTCGTACACTTTATAAACAAGAACAACATCGAAAATCATTTTAAAAGTAAAAATATCAAATAATAGAACTATGTATGCCTACTTGATTTCAGCTAAGCTGGCGTTTGCTGGCTGTAATGAGATCGGCATGCCATAATTAATGTTTAATCAATCAGACATAGGGGTCCAGATGTATGGAATTCTTTACCTAACACTAATAATGTAATATTCGAAATATAAAATCACCAAACTCCTTTAAAAGAGCACTCAAAATATCATTATTTCACAGATGTAAGATATTACTTACGTAATAATCTATATATCAGATCTTATTATATCGAACAATATTTTTAATAGACTTAACAATTAATATACTTCTGTTTTTTTTTGGTTTTTTTTTTCTTGATCTTTGTAGCGTAAATAGCTCACTACAACCCTTGAGGAATTTTATGTGTCGTCTACGTTTATATTTGAAAGGTGTTGTAACGATTCAAGCTTTATTTGCTTATGATTCATCACCTTTGTGTGTTCATTCTTTATACTGTATAGGCCTATATAATAGTTCCAACTTGTTTTTGATATAACATTCTTTTTCACGTGAAGTCAAATGGATTGTAAAATTAAAAATGATTTGTTATATTATTGTCTTTATGTTGTTTTTGGCCAGGGGAGGTGGCCCGGCCCGGACCCAGGTTCCCGCTCCCCCCCCCCCCCCCCTGGATCCGCTACTGTGCATGCATGCATGCATAAATATTGCCTAACCTAGCTACCCCCCCCCCCCCCCCCCCATATATATTATAACTAGGGTCGAGGAGGCGAGGCGGTTGTCGCGTAGCAGCTCAGCTCAGCTCTGCATTTAGTGACTGAATCCCATTCCAAGCTGATCGACGCGGAACATGAACAACCGTCGATACAAATTTCGGTCTACCACTATGACCAGGTTGAAATAGACTTATGACGGTTTACTTTTAGTGTCGATCTGACCTTAGACTTAGAGTTAGGCTTTGCATGTGTGGACATGATTCTGATGATTTGTTGTCGACTGAAGAGCTAGAGTTTATCAATTTGTAAGTACTAATACTATGGCTAACTCCAGCAGTCCATGTCAGAGAGCTCCGCCGCCGAAGCTTAAGGCGTCAGAGCTCCCTGGACTCTGGAGTTATATTATGGCTACCGGTACTATTGATTTCACATGATGCAGTGCTGTGGTGGGTGAACGCAAATTCTAACACATTTTATATCATCAGTCATCACTTGTGACTGTGCCGCTGTTTTTATATCATGCTAGAGCAATTCAAATTTTAACCCTTGTTATGTTATAGATCTAGATCTAGATCTAGACCTAGATCTAGAATCTAACTTAGACCTCTAGATACTAAGTTCACTTGTTTAAAAGCAGAAAAAAAAAGAATGGCGAAAACTTGAAATATTAAATCAGCAATCAGGCAATAGTCTAGAGTCTAGTTCTAATTAGAAAGTTATGCATGTTTGAAATATGTGTTCACTAGTTAGTCTATAGAACCTACATGTAGGTCTAGATGAGAATCTCAGATTGGCAGTTTTTGTTCGGTGGATTATGACGTACAAGTTCTGCGGCCTAAATTATCGCAGATCCCATTTGTTTTTTTGTTGTGTACACAAATATTAATTTCTGCTTTTCTCCTAAGTGCCTTCTCCCTGTGGACACTACTCTAAAGATAATAATAATACTAGTATATTATAATTCCTAAGAAAAGGATAGAGGAATCGGTCATACATTTTTGAAAATTTGAGTCATTTTGTGTGTTGGAGCAGATAGGAAAGTTGTTCGCCACTTCATCACAGAGACATTATCAATTCAGCCAATTCAAAGATCCCATACCTTTTAACAACTTTCTCTTTTTTGGGCCAATTGCATTCAAACTTCTACCAGTCGATCTACTTATCTGATTGTTCTGCTTTTCTCCAGGGTGGTTTCCCTTAATCATGACAATCATCAGTGTTTGTTTGATATGCTTACCGGTATGCTTATAAATATGAATGCAGTTAGAAAACACCAAATGTGGAAAACAAATGCATATTTACCAATTTTCATTATAATTTAAAGGCCTGTCAAATTGCCTTGTGTACATGAGTACATTCGTTAGCCTCTTATTTGGGTAGGGTCGTCAAGAGGCTAACGAATGAAAGAGACATAAATTTATTTTCAGTGTAAGTAATGGTGATGTTTGTGGCTGTTGTTTTGGTGTTGTATTTATGGAGTGCAGTAAACTTGACTGTAAATTTGTAATATGTTTGAGCTAAAACTAGTAAAAGTGCATCGTATTTATAAATGGGTCTATATTATATATATATATGATAGTGAAATGAGAAATGTTATAGTGTACAACTCTGAACAAAAATTACATAGTGGAGAGCTGAGAAGCAGTCATTTGTATTAAATGATTATAACAAAAACAAGGAATAAAAGGAAAAGAAAAATTGCAGCTGAAGTCCAAAGAGTACATGTACATGTGCTTGTATAGTCATTTTGCAATAAAAGTACGGTAGGCACTATCGAACCTCCCACTAATTGTAACAGAAAATGTTTCAACTGTTCTGGTATCATAAAAAATGTAGATGCAGCTACCTAAGGAGCTAGCTAGAAGAAAAAATTCAGTTGGGGTATTATGAGCAAAGAAGAAAAAGAGAGAGATTTTCTCTTTTCTTTGATGTATATGTATTTTTCAAGCAATTTACTTGGTAGCGGGTTTATTTCATCCACTATGAAAACTTGCACAAGTCATTAGAAATTACATATTTGGCCACAAGAGGATTTTGGTGATTTCTGTTTTTTTTCTTCTCTCATTTAATAGTATGTTGACCTGCCAATTGACTGTCCATTGCTAATTAGGGTTCAGTAGGTTAAACTTCTTTGCCAGCCAGCCAAGGAACCAAGTTTGCTTTATGATTAGTTTGGTTGATATGACCCACTCAAGATAAGCTGCTGGATCATTTAACACACCCATTATGAATTAAGAATTAAGATAACATTTGGCTGTGCATTACTATCAGAAAGAATTGCTTTTATTTGTAGTGGGTAACATGTATTTGTAAACAAGTGTATAAAGTATGAGAGGGTGTGGTTCAACTATGGACCTACATGTACATGTATAATACAAATGGACATTCAACAAAGCAATTCCTTTGATCCAATGAGTATCAGGTCCATGGTTCTACTATGGTTTAAAGCCTGTCTGTACTAGTTTGGCCAGGAGGGATTAGACCACTAAGGGTAGTCACTGACAGGTGGCTATCTCATCAAATCAGCTCTCAATTAACATAAGAAAAAGAGGATCATGGGGGACCAATGGGCACCGCTTAGGCATTTTTTTCCTATATAGAGGGAGTAAGTACAGTGGGGCTTTAATACTGAGGTGATGTGACAACTTTTGATCAGGGGTGCAGCTCTGAGGGAAAATGGTTGTTTTCTGATCTCATAATGCATCTTTCATCAAACAAAAAAAGCCCAGATTTGATTACCGGTAATTCATAATAGAAGTTTTGTCAGACTTGGGTTTTCACATAAGTTAACTGATATCAAATTTATTTGAAATAAGTTTTATGATATTTCTTAATTTTCTTTGGACAGTTTTAGAAGAACGCTCTGAAGTTAGATTTTCACGTTTAAAAAGCTCACAACATCTGTGTGAAGCAGTAATTAAGGCAGAAAGAATATTTGGCCATTGTGCTGGTCTGTATAATCATATGCAGTGTTTTTGTTTTCTACTCAATATGTCACCCTGTTTAATGTAAACATAAGGGACAACAATTTAGCATTCATCTCATGAATCCATGTATACAGAAGTTGGCTTTTTAAATGCATGGTTTCAAGTTTTTAAAATATTTTGAATATATCAAATCTGAACTCATTTTGAAACATACTGTTTGTGAATGTTGTATGGGTTATACAAATGGCTTTTGCTCTCTTTTGTATTAATGGCATTGGAAATACTAATAAAAGTGCGTGATTCATTCACATATCATGGTAAATGATGCAAGGAAATTCCATTTAAATACCTTTGTGTAAATTGTCCATTACATCCCCGTACCCTATTGTGTTGCTGATTATAAAATTGTAACTGAGATAGTTTTTCATGCTTTATGCCTTTATCATTTTCTCTTCATGTTTATACAGCTCAGGCTGCTCAGCTAAAATTATAACAAACAAAACACAGTATTTGTTTGGTGTGTGTGCCTCACTAAAGGTGTTTATTGACATTCAAACATTAAAATAAAGTTGTAGGAACAACATTCAACGCAGAGATATTGCAGGGAGATTAACCCTAGGGTATGTCTGATACAGTTTGATCAATTTGAGGTTGATGGAAATACTCCACGTCATGCTTCATTTTTGGACCCCAAGCGCAAAGGTTTGTGCACCCTGATCTCGGCTATACCGACTATACAAGTATTCGTAACAGGAAAATGAAATAATTCAGAAGAGGGCTTTTCACAAAGACATCAGTGGTAGTTCAGTGGCCTATTATGATGAGAAAGTAGTTCTTGTCTGTAGAAGTTTTTGAATCATTAAAAAAAAAGATGTACTGTACCGGGTACAGTAGGCCTACAAGTATTCTGTATTGGGAAAAGTACTGACCCTTGAGATGTAATTTTTAGTTGACATCATGTGGGATGGATAGGCTTTGAAAAAAAATTTGGAGTGGAGGAAATAAGTTTGGTTATTAGTCCGTGAGAAGTATTGACTACATTTTGGAGTATCCCATCGCTTACTGCAACTCTTTAGACATTGGGGCACACAAGGACAGAAGCTGTTTATATGTCTGTCTGTTTGGTGTGGAGGAGAGGTACACTTGTACCGTTACTTGCCAAAAGATGGAGAAAAAGGCATTGTTAGTAGCCAAAATTGACTGACCATTAGTGACGTAGGGTTTGTGTTGCTGTTGTTGTTATTGCTGTCGTGGAACTTTCTTCTCAAAATGAAGCTTCAGATTCATTCATTTGAGTCATAAAAACAATCAAGAACACACTGTACTACGTCAGCATCTTCTTTTCTTCAATCTTTATAAAAAAAATCTTAATCAATCCTTAACAGGTTGTTGAAGCCCACATCTGGGCAGCTAGTACCAACATCTGCTTCAAGAGCGCCCTCAGAGTTTAAGTGTGGACAGCTTTGGCGATCTCCATCATGGATGCAGACTGCCGGTTCTCCAACAATGGGTTGGTGATGACTATGAGTACACTCGCTTCCTTCACATCAGGGACCATGCTTGTAGGGTTCTGTCTCAGTGTCACCTTCGCTATCCTCTTTAACTTCAAGGTCACAACAAAGACGCACTGTGGGGTGAGTATTGGGTACCGTAAGAAAGATAAGCATTTCAGAAACATCCAACCATATTCCATTCAATTCATGTCAATTCAGTTCAATTTTGGTTTATTAGAATAAAATATACAAAGGTGTGATGATAGTGCAGTATTCACATGCAAATACAAAAATAGAAAAGAAAAACAGAAATTGGAAGATTCATAAAATCATACATGTACATGTAGTTCAAATTATATTCTATTCATAATACCTTGTCGTCATGTTATGATATTAAAGATCTTATGACTTAGTTTGATCATGGACCTAGGTCCATGGTTTGATATATCAAACCGCCTGTCAATTGCATAACAGGGGATCATATGGAGGAGGTTAATGTACTTTGCTAAACGCAATTACCGGTGTATGGAAAAATATGGGGGAGGTTAATGTGCTTTGCTAAATGCGGTAAACAAGTTGATCAAAACATAAACCCCACATGTTTGAGGAAAAAGGAATGCAGTTTCCTTTTTTAATGACAGACAATTAAGTCACAGAATTGAAGAGTTTGTACTTTGTTGCCGAATAGCTGAATTGTGATAGTTTTACCAACAAGACTTACTACCGGTATCTAATGTATACTGTGAAATCCTAAGTGACACGTATATATGTTTTATGTTCATTATTAGAATATTTACAGTTGTGATACTTTACTACCTTTATAGATGTGATATATTTGAAGTTCATTTATTGCTACATGGAACTCCTAGCATACAAACCAAAAATATTTGTCATTTGTACCCTTTAAAACCTAACTGCACTAGTTTGGCCAGGAGGGATTAGACCTCCCTGTGTGGTCACTGGCAGGTGGTTATCTCATCAAATCAGCTCTCCATTAGCAAGGGGACCATGGGGATCAACAGGTACCGCTATTTTAAAGGCATTATTGGCTATATACAGAGCGCAAGAAAATTCTGTATAGCAATATTCTGAAGAATTTCTATGTCAAAGTATATGATATATTGTGTATGTAAACTTATTTTGATTCTTTGTACGTTTGCAAAATGTGAGCAAAACAAATTTCCAATATTGGACAACAAAAATTGAAATTGAAGTAGCTACAAGTAGTGCAGTCCCGCTTGATGTCGATTATTCTTGCAAGTACTTGTATCCACAGACAAGATGTTTTCTTGATTCCCAGGTTGCCAACTACCTACCGTCCATCAGCGCAGCCATTGCAGAGCCACCGTCCTCCTACGTGTGGAGGTTTGCTGTGGCACTGTGCACTATTCAACGCCTTGGGCTCGCCGTCACCCATTACAGCATGTACTCCTCAATCTCACTCAACAAGCCCCAGTATAGGTGGCTCTGCAAGCTCTGTTTCTTTTGCGAGTTGACAGAGAACCTGGGTCTCATCGGTCTGACTTGCGTCTCCTCCGTTGAACATCACCGTAAGTAGCAGGGAGGGTGGAGGGGGCCTTGGCAACTATTGCTTCATGCTCAGTATCCTGCAATATCCAAATTTGTAACCTCGACCTTGGATCAAACATAGCATTTGATCTTGACCTTAACCCTAATCTTACACCAACTTTAACTAGAATTGCAATCCTAACCTTTAATGTATCTGGAGGAATGGTCACCATAGCATAAGCAGGACCTTAGCCACCCCAATGTAGATGAAATTTCACATATTCCAGGGTCATTGGCCATAGGTAATTGTTCAAGAATTGGTCTGAACAGTGATATAATTAAAGAAATAAGAAATAACTATTAAAAAGTAATTAATTTGTATGTGTGTGCGTGTATGTGCTATTGACAAGTTTCAGTTCAAAGGTGATTGGTGTAACAAAATGACCCAAATGGTTGCATGCAAGCGTGACAAAATATGTGTAGTTTATAGGTTTATGTACCAGAAAGAAACAAAATATCATTGTACAGGGAAAGCCTTGCATACTAGCTAAGCTAACTGTAGAAATTGTATTTTTCAAATAAATTTGGGGATATATGATCCATGGAAGACTACAGGTATCTCATCTTAAATGATATGCATTTGTTTAAAGACCGTCAAGATACTACCGGGCCAGACGGGATTAGACCACACAGCGAGGTCACTGACAGGTGGCTATCTCATACCTAGCTCTCAACTAAAATAAGAAAAAGAGGATCATGGGGGACCAACAGGCAGAGATTGGGGAAGTTTTCTATAAGCTACAAGTAGGACAGTGGGGCTTTAAAATCTGTTTAATGTGTCTTCTTCTGGGGTTTCTTTCAGAGGCTCACGAGTACTTCTTCATAGTGTTTCAGGCGAGTGCCATGCTTTATATGATGCTCCAGTGTATGGTGTACCGACTCGCTATCACCCATGGACCAGGACCTACTCATGAGGTTTGTTTCTTCTTTAAAGGGAAAGTCGGTTTATAGCCGTTTGGTCTATTCCCATATGGTCTACCAGTCAGTGTAATTCCCAGTTTGTCTATTGCTCACATTGTTTACCATCCATATAGTCTAATAATCATTTAATCATAAATAATAATTATCATCAAATGATTATTAGACCATATGAATGGCAGACAAAATGGGCATTAGACAAACTGGGAATGAGACTAAGTGGGAATTAGACTAAATGGTCATTGGACAAAATGATAAGAAGACCAAATGATTATTGGACCATGTGGATAGTAGAGGGGTTGGGTGTGGACCACGTGGGAATAGACTAATTGGGTAGTAGACGAACTGGTTGTAGACCAAACAGCAATTCACCGGATAGTCCACTCTCTCAGGGCCTGTTCAGATATGACACAGTAAATTGATTACCTCTTCCCCCCCCCCCCCCCCACAAAAAAAAAAAAAAAATCTTACCGGGATTAAAGTTGTATGAACCGCCCTCGTGTATAAACCGCACCCAACTTTTTCGCCCGCAGAAAGAAAAAAAAACTACCCCATCCGTTTTTCTACATGTAAATCAAAGGCAACAGCCCGCAACAAAGGTCCTGCACTTATTCAATATGAGCTCTGTGTTATATGATACAGAAATGTGAAGTGCATAACATGTCATGTCGTCATTTAAGAAACAAAAACTGCTGTTTTTTTTGTTTTTTTTGGTTTACATCATATGTGAATGAGGCCTTATTTTCATGTGCCAGCATGCTTATTTGCAAGATATTTGCTCCACTTTTAATCTAGAGTGTTCACAATCCATTTGATGGCCGAATTCAGTTCTTGGGTGGCCATTTACACCATAGTGCACATAATCAAATGCCAGCCAAAGCCAACTTTTACGGTAGAGGATTCATATGCCTGTAATGAATAGCTTACCCCGCTCCATCGGATCTTTCAATCGAGTCATGCAGGGCTACACCACCTTTTATGAAAATATACCCCCATATCTGGATTGATCTAAAAACATTAAAACTGGCTTAAAGTTGATAGAAAATTTGGCTAAACATGCTGTATACTAACCCTTGCAATTTTGGTTGCTAAAATTTGATTTATCCACTTTTCATCATATTTACCCTGGATTGATGAAAAAAAGGCCTGATTTCTCTTTTTTTAAACATGTCTTTCTTCAAAGGAGGTAACTGGTGATATTATAAATTATAAATGTTCATATTTCGCCTAGCAAGTTAAGACTTTGATAATATTCTGTCTTTGTTTAAAGAAGAATTAATCACAATATTGATTTTTAAATATCACTACTACTACTACTACTACTACTACTACTACTACTACTACTACTACTACTACTACTACTACCACTACTACTACTACTACCACTACTACTACTACCACTACTACTACTACTACTACTACTTCCACTTCTATTATATTATTATCTTTATTCGCATACATGTATTTATGTTTTTCAGGAAACCAAGACTTTCATGAGGAAAGTGTGTCTGTTTCTCACCAACCTTATTGCCTTCTTCTCTGCCTTGTATTTCTTCTACCGTCATAACCATTACTGTGAGCCTGGAGGTGAGTGTTAAAGCCCCACTGCACTACTTGTAGCTACTTGCTCCCTCTATATAGAAAACAATGCCTAGTAATCGGTGACCATTGGTCCCCCATGATCCTCTTTTTTAATGTTAATTGAGAGCTGATTTGATGAGATAACCACCTGTCAGTGACCACGCAGGGAGGTCTAATCCCTCTTGGCCAAACTAGTGCAGATAGGCTTTAAAACATGCAATGTGTCACCACGGAACTCAAACACAAACTTGGCCGTTTCTGGTATTATTACAAAGATTGATAATAGTATTGTGACTGGGAGTTTTTGTAGAGTCCTTGTGTCTTGGTGCTCCAGTATACCCAGGCTATATAAGTTCTTTTTCCTATTATGTCTTCAAAATATGAGCTTGGAATATTATATCTACAAAGAACTGTTTCACTTGAAATACACTATTATTATCAGTTAAAGGTAAAGACCAGTTATGGTCATGCGATTGCATTGTGAAAGAAACGTTGTGGAATCGATCAGAAAAGGTTGATCATCTAGCATCTAGCATCTGCAAGGTTCTGGAATCATCAAAATGATAAGAAATTTGGCCCATTCTTTGTAAAGTTACAAGCACTATACACAGAAAGATGTATATGGGACTACCCTATATCCCTCACAGACCATGAGAGAAACAATTTTTCCAAATATATGAATTATTAGGCGGTTTCCCGGCAAATTTTTTATCATCATGTATTCGTCAAAACATATTCTTTCACATGATTGGTAATGAGAGCTTCCATTTCATTTTTTGAAATTGGGGCGTTTCCAATACTGGTCTTTACCTTTAACGTAAAAATATGCGCTCGCATAGAATAGACTGCACCCAAGTCGGACTTGGGTTCTATGCACAAGGTTTTATGCTATCCTCTTTTTTCTTCATAAATGTACTTACATAAATTAACCCTCAGCTCTAGAATACGAGGTAAAGTTTTATTAGGTTCAGCTTATATTCTAGCTATACACATTATTTGTCCGGATGGTACACTTTAACATCACTGGACAGGGTTTAGATACCTTTACAGTATATTCAAAAGTGACAACTGTGGACTGTGACCGGGGTAATAATGTTGGAGCGCCAGGAGCATGAAAGCGTGATGGACATGATGAGCGCTATCGGCTACCCCATTATTATTATTATTCATGCAACATCTTTTCTTTATTATTTTTCTTTGACAGTGTACACCATCTTTGCCTTCCTGGAGTACATTGTCGTGATTAGTAACATCCTCTTTCATTACATGGTGACAAACAATTTCAAAGAGAGGGAGGTGAGGATGGGCTCTCGTGCCGGGAGTAAACTTTAACGGTAAGTTCTTTGGGTGATTGTCTTCACAATCTTTGCTGCTCAATTGCAAAGCAGAAGGGTGCAAATGGATAGGGAAGGGGGCACAGGTTAAGAGTAAACACACATCCAACCCTTTTGGCCATGATTTGAGTCTTTGTAACACATGCATTCAGTGAAACCTGTTGCCAGAGCTAAAGCTGGGGTAACAATATCCTTTGTAAGCGTCTCTATGCGTCATAATGTGATATGCGCTATACAAGAACACCATATTATAATATTATTTAACGAACTGCTGGGTTAGTGTATAGGCATTGGCTCCTCAATCTAAACTGCTGTGTTAGAGTTTGATTTTTATTCAAATTTTCATCTCTAAACACCAACATCTGTCGTGAAATCACCCATGGTATGATTATCTTTCCACATTGCCGTCATAGTAATTATCATTTTTGCTTTCTTCTCCCTATCACACATCCCTCTACCAGTTTTTCTTTACATGATAGGTGCCTTTGATGATTCCAATGTAGTGTGCCATGTTCAAGGATCCTCAAAAGCAAGCGAAAGAGTTGTCAGATGTGATGAAGCTTTGTCTAAACTGGGTTACTTTGGAGGAGACTTGGGAAGGGAGTGTACTTTCAAAGAATCTTGTTTTTCCATTCAAGTTCATTCCATTTTATTCCTTTTTAATGTAGACTGTAGATATGACATTTTGTGTGATTGTCATTGATGTGAATTGGTGCATAAAACTTTTTTGAGTTTTTAATTCCTTCCATTTTATGTTTTCGACTTTTGTTATTATTCTTTTTTGTTGAAAAATATGTATGATTTTTATCTGTTTTAATATCAGTCATATCAGTCTTTACAAAATACCTCAAATGTGATTTTTGTTGTTGCTTTGAACGTGCCGATACATAAGACACCAGGGTATTTGGATACCACAAGGGTTTGTGGTCTATGTCGGTAGCTCTGTGAGTGCTTACGAAATTCACTGTACGCTCCTGTATATTGGTAGCCTGGTGGTCCACAATGGGTTATGTAACAATGACAGGTTTTAGATTTAGATCTACAATAATACCGTCTGTCAGCCAATGGTTTTACTTATCATTATAAAAAATTTAATTGTCACATTACATATACATATAGTTTATCTTTATCCGTGAAGTCTGGTCACCTTTTTAAGTTATTCAAAATGAGAGATATTTATAAGATATATATAGTTGTCATTAATTTTTTGTCTAATTGTGCTGCCATAGACTTTATACATGTTTATATTATGAAATATAAATTTTATTAAAAATAGATATTTTTCAACTTTTTATAAATGCACTGGTAGCTGGTTTTTAATTCTATGTCTAAATGCTCTTCTAGAGACTTTAATCATGTTTACTTTATAAAGTATACATTTTATGCAAAATAACTTTTCTTACATTTTTTTTAACAACGTTTTACAAATGTACTTATTTTTTCAATGACGGGTCATATCGTCCTTGTTTGCACAAAGTGACGGTAGTGAGGAAAATCGTAACGCAAAGTGAATGCAATTTTTTTTCACTACCGTCACTTCGTGAAAACAGCGACGATATTTGTACTATTTTAAAGGTGTTTGTTTAGACTTTGTCAAAAGGCAAATGAAATAATGCCATACATTTTGTTCAGGATTGATCTATTTCATAATACAGGGTTTATGCAATTTTAATGATTCAATCAAATCAATTCAGGTTACTGGTACATGTTCATATTGTCTATATTGATAAAGAAATGGGTACTAGAATGTCCCACTACTCCCACACAAAAGCTATGGGCTTCCGTGGTGGGAATCTGTAGAGAGACAGTTTTAGTTTATAGAGGAAACATGTGTATCTGACAAGAATATGCACATCAAGACTAGGGATATACTAGGGCTATCAACCCTCCTGCAATTGGAGAGAGTCTCATGCCGCCATGCTCATTCTCCCACCGTCCCACCAGCTCGTGGCGGGAAACTCCCGCCACCACACCCCTCCTCCATATAGCGATATATGCTTTTATAGCATTTTGCTTCTTTGATTTCAATTTTTCAAAGTGAGAAGTAAAATAGAGCTGAATGAAAGCACTTCATTGAAATCGCATACATTGCAAAATACAAACACGAATCTGAATATATGGGACATTTCGTAAACAAGACCTAATTCCTTACTTTTGCTATGTTTATTACACAAGCTTGGTATTTGTTTTAATTTCCAAATGCAATCTGTTTGGCAGATATCATTTACTTTGCAATGTATTTTATTGGGAATTTTTATTATTTTGATTTTAGTCACTCAAGCATTATACAGTGGAAACACTTATATAGCGAGGTATCTATTATAACAAGGTAATTTTGCTGGTCCCAGCTCTTTATGTTCTTTTGTTTTTTTTACCCTGATATAACGAGGTAATTTCAACTGTCCCAAGGACCTTGTTATAACAAGTTTCAACTGGGTAGTCATTTATAAAAATAGATTGTTGCCGCATCGAGGTTTGTACATGGCTTTCCCCAGTAGTATTGAAATTCTATTTAATAGAATTTCAATAAATTTAATAGAATTTCAAACTAAATCTTATCTTCAAAATGTCTTCTTGTAATACAAGAAGACATTTTGAAGATAAGATGTAGTTTACAGGTAATGTTTTACACAGATCAGGACATGAACGTATCACATATTTATATGCAGCTGATTATTTAAAGTTGTTTTGGTTTTTAAATCACCTTGCCCTAATTAAAAATTGCCACAACTATATACACTTGTGTTTTTACAAATTTGTAAATGTATATTCATTTCAGGACGAATATCTCTTGGCATTATGATACCTAATAAAGGCTCATGGGACTTATATTGTTGGTCAAGTGAGCCCTAAAATAAGCTGTCAGAAGGCCAGTAAAGCCGACATTATCAGACTCGTAGACCATCCGCCAACTTCTACTCTGGATCCAACACCTTGCCTTAAACCAAATTGCAACCTTAACCTTAGCCTTTGTCTTTGACTTATTGAAAAAATGAAAAGTAGCAGGTGTCAGTAGTCAGTACACCTGTTAATTTGAGGACATATTCTTGTAATAATTAAACCCTTTATCATAACCATGGCGATTTAAATTAACAAGGTAAAATAACACTAGCTCAAGGTCATATAAGGTGTATTACTCTTTTAACATAATTATTAATGCAGGATTTGCCAATTTTTTAGCTAAAGCTTTGAAATATTTAATTCTAATATCATGGAAAATTGTTCAGTTTTACTTGTGTAAGTAATATACTTTTTTCTGAAGGTAATTGTCATAGAAACAGGGTCAAAATAATATATATTTTGTCCTGGACATATGGTATGAATATAAATGCATTAAAACTGTGCCATCGCATCTTTGTGTTTTGGCAATTCCTCCAAAAAATGTCTTCCATTTTTTTAAATAGGTTATTGTATTAATATTTATCATAGAAACAGGGTCAAAATTATGAAGATTTTTTCCTGGATACATTGCATCAAAGAAAATTCATTACAATTCTGCCATATCCATATTAAATCACATATTTGTGTGTTGGCAATTCCAAGGAAAAGTGGACTTGTCATTTTTAAAATTGTTTGAATATTAATATGCCTTGTATGTTTTGATTTTTGAAATATTTGATTCTACTGTTCTGGATAATATGAAATGTAGAAAATTAATTCTATCATTGAATTGTATACATGTAGTACATGTACTAACAGTGAAAAATATGAATGTATTTGTATGCATACTTTGAGGCCTTGGAATTGTGATAAGATACATGTCAATTTCATATCTTGTCAAAATGATGTATTTTGTAAACATTGCCATTCACAGGTATTCATGCAAATTTTTGTATAACTTTTGTGTATGCACTTAATTGCCGTTATTAGGATTGAGTGTTATTCACTACGTTTTGATGGAAATAACTTTTGCTGTGACGTGCTTTTTTTGAGGATGGTTTTCCTTTTGAGAAATGAAGATGTAATATTTTTGTTATTTGATGTGTATATTGTGCTAAATAAAGCCTTTTCTTGGGGTCATACTATAATCTTGCTCTTCTTGTTATTTTTTTACAAAATACCATGTACCGGTATGTTTAACAGAAATTTTGTTGATTTGTAAAAATACCATTACTACAGCAAAGTGAGTTGGGTATTAAACTTAAACTTACTTTGTATATATAGGTAAAGAATGTATTAAACCTGGGCCAGTTCATCTTGCTTGATATTGGATAATTCCAAGGGGAAAGAAAAGTAAAGAGAGAGAGAGGGGGAGGGGGATTGATAGAGAACAGTGAATGTTGTTGTTGTTATTGGCATTTCAGCGTTTGGAGAGAGAGAGAGGGAGTGATAGAGAAAAATAAAGGGAGAGATAGAGAAAAGAAAATGGGGGAGAGGGATTGATTGAGAAAGAAAACGAGGGAGAGGGAACGATGGAGAAAATTAAAGGAGAGAGGGGGAGTGATAGAGAAAATTCAACAGAGAAAAAGAGGAGGTGATAGAGAAAATTAAAGGGAGAGAGAGATAGAGAGGGGGCATAGAGAAAAGTAAAGGGAGAGAGAGATAGAGAGGGGGCATAGAGAAAAGTAAAGGGAGAGAGAGATAGAGAGGGGGCATAGAGAAAAGTAAAGGGAGAGAGAGATAGAGAGGGGGCGTAGAGAAAAGTAAAGGAAGAGAGAGGGAGTGATAGAGCATAGTAAAGGGAGAGAAAGAGAAATTTGCATATTTTATCCACACACCAATTGTTCTTCTTTCATCTCAATCTCAATTAATTATATAAGGTTTTGTACCTCAGTCACACTGCCAAGCTAACTCCATACAGACCAATCTTGACACCATTTGGGCTAATGTAATTCTTTGTTTAATCTTTTGTTGGTCAGGTATCAGTCTTGTTGGTGACTTGGGTAATATACCTCAGTCGCATTATGACTGACACTTCATACCAACTCCATAGTGACCAATTTCGGGCCATTCTGGGGATTTTTTATTTTGTTGTTTGTTCGGTCTTTTGTTGATCTCGTTGGTGTGACCAAGGTATTACTCTAAAAACCTTACGTTAAGATCTACCCATCCAGACATAAAATATTTCATCTTGTAGGCATTATGAAAGCAACTTTTTATGAAAATTTTTAGATTAGGAAGAAATAATAAAAACAAGAGGAGGGTATGATTCACAATATGTAAAATCAATTTATATTTATTGCATCTCTTTATCAAAATTGTTATAACTAAAAATGTAAAAAGGGAACAATTGAATTCATCATATATTAATGGCTTAAATCTTTGAAACACTTCACCTTTGCTTTATCGTACATATTCATGTGGTTACTCAGGCAAGATATATAATTTCAATTTTATTGTACAATTCTAAAATAATCTAGATATTAGGGTAGAAGTGCTGACATGAACACTCAATAGCAGATATAATGATAAAGATATAGGCCTATGGATCACGTTTATCTTCTTATTATTAAATTATTTTCATATCCAAATTAAAAACCCATTCCCTATCTTTAAAAAAAATAAACTTCTCCATGAAAATCAGTTTCATCTTTAATACACAGTTAGCAGGGGAATGTGGATTAACAAGTACATGACCATCATTCATCTTACAATTACAAAAATATATAATATTTATATATCTATATAGTTTTCTTTACACAATATAGTCTCTGTCATGAAAACATTGAGATTTGAGACTTAGAGTGAAGAATTTATATCTTCACACACAGTATTTAACATTAAAAAATAAGACCCTCATGTAATGAACTGTGCTTTGTGCACAATCTCTTACATGTATAATTATATACATAAAATGATTAATGGCAGCTTATTTGATAACATTATGGAACAAAACATCTAAAGAGTTATGTGATCTTAACAATTATTAACAGTTGGTCACCTATACACAATAATGCAGATGAATGAGATGGCATGATTACTAAATAATTCTGAGCACTTACACACAAGGTAGGTTGGAATCTCTTGACAAACAAAGTCAACAATACAAGTATGATCTATTTGTAAGTCAAGACTGTAGCGACCTCATTATGAGTATCAATCAGCAAGTTAAATGATTCCAAAACATATATGTATTTCATTGATGGATGGCAAGGGGATTAACAATCTGTAACAGAAGAAATCACACAGTACAATGATAACAATATAAAACATAAGAAGTTAATTACACAGTAGATTACACTTTTTTTTTTTAAACTTCACATGATGACTTACTTACTTTGGTCCTTTTTTTTCAAGTAAATGTTACTAAAGCTGTAAATACATTCAATCCAAAGTACAAGGTATATGAATATAATACCAGTATCTGCTAACCAAGGTAATTATTTATATCACATTTTTACAATTCAATCAGATGTACTCCCTGAGTTCAAACGGTTACTCATTTTGCAGATTTTTGATATCCAGGATAGCTGTAAACACTAGGCCTGTTTCCATCAGCTCGAGATTGCCAAATAACCCGCTATTTTAACTATCCTGATCGCAAATTATCCAGCTACTTTGCGTCTTCATCAGCCCGCAGTTGCAATTAGCAGGATATTTGGTCTAGATAATCATCCCAAGATATCTTGGGCTAGTTTGCAATATATCCCGCTATTTGTCCGGTGTGTCTTCACCAGCCCAAAGACTCGCACTATGCGCGAACGCTGAGCAAAATATCTCAAGTTAATTTCTAGAGCTTGAGTTTCGAGTTTTGAGGTCGAGTCTCGAGCTGATGAAGATGCGATTTGTAACTTCTGGCTTATTTCCCAAATCAGAAATAGTGGACTATTTGGCAATCTCGAGCTGATGAAAACATACCTACTGTGATAGTCTCCTTGATTGATCTTGAGGATAATCATGACCTTGAGGATGACTCGCTACTGGTCACAATGGATGATGACCTTGAGGATGAGAAGCTATTGGTCACAATGGATCATGACCTTGATGGCTCCACCCTCACCGGTCTTGGCTGTTTCAAAGGCTTTCAGGGATTCTGCTAACTTGAAATGATGTGTGATGAGAGGTTTGGCATCAATCTTCCCACTCGCTATCATTTCCAATGCTGTGGGGTAGCTGGGGGAGGGGGGAATAGGGGAAAATAAAGATAAATGAAAAATGATATCAAACAATACAAACTTTATACAGAAATATGGCTATCACATATCTCCTGTCATAGATTACAACCTTAATCATAACTATTAGATTAGTTTAAGAAGTCAGATACACTGTACTAAAAAATCTCTTCTGCTGCAATATATTTCTTTTCTTAAAATTAAGCAAGTAGATAGGTAATTTTATGGGAAAGCCTGCCAGACCGACCAAGCCAGCTTTTATTCGAATTGTATCTTCTTGAACAAAATCAGTTCTGTGGTTGGATTAGCAAATGGCGCTTGTAAAATGGCGACTGGCTGGAATACTCCCCAGGGAGTGGAAAATGTGCATACATTGTGTTGCGGGTAAGCCTGAATCCGATGACCGGGGTAATAATATGTTCCGCGCCTAGAAACAAAGTTTTAGGTGCATTATAAATGTGAGCTATTATTATTATTATTGAACAATCTTGAACAATCTTATTACGTAATTTTGAATATCAAAATATTTTCAGTTTTTAAGCTCATTCTTGATTTTAAAAATATCAAATGTAAATATTCTTAACATTGCATAATTTTAATCTCAATCATCAACGTTCACACCTAAGTATATACTGACGTTGTATAGAACATTGCAAAATATTAAATTTGATCTGCTTTGATCCGTAACCTGCATGGGGCTTTGCCTTTTTGCCCCACGCCCGGACCGATTCCCTAGGTTGAAAAAACCAGAGATATACTAAATAAGGCAAATGCTCTGGAAAAACCTAATGGCAAATCGTCCCAATAAAAATGATTTATTTGAATCTCTATACCACCAACAAAAACCAACACCAAACTATTGTTCTGTATTAAAATTTTCAATTAAAATTTGTGTCGTGTATCTAGTGTCTGACAAAGCTAGAATGGCTACCACACCCATTTCCCTCTCTTATTATGCCTTCTGAACATTCCTTTCCCTCTCAATACAATAACTTTCACCTGCCTAAGTTATTCAAACCATCCCGCCTTGCGTGATCATGGCGTCTCGCCACTCCTATGTAATCATTAAATGGATCCGCATATATAACATTTTCCTGCTATACGTTGTACCGCAGGAAAATACAATTCTTGCTAGTAAACCTACCAGTTGACATATCTGAATATTCCTCTAATGTCCACTTCTCTGACCGCTGCATTGACCACTGGAAGACTGATTTCAGGTGGTCCTAGTCCAACCAAGACAAGTACACCTCCAGATCTAGTTGCCTACGAGACAGAGAAAGAAAGAAAATATATTTAAAAATTAGTATTTTTAGTGTAAGTCATAATCATTGCATGATTACGTCATTGAGAACCATGTATGAACTAGCTGTTACACAATTCTGAACATGCGTTTTTTTCATGCTGTATCTATACACAAAGACTACTGAACTGGATCAAACTTTATAATGAATGCAAATCTCATTATTTAAGAAAATAATTATTACATGTACATGCTGAGCAAGATGTGCTCACCTTTAAAGATGAGGGTTAAGAAACTGACCATTAAATAAACTTTTAAACTATCAAAAGCATGCCTTTACTTTCAGAACTCCTATTTCTAAAAAGTTAACATAATTAATTCCTGTATGGAACCACATTTCAAAAATACGTAATGGTGACAAACTTCAGCCCTACAAGATTTAAATGAAGTATTTAGAATATCATTTGGAAAGAGATTAATTCTTCAAAAGTACTAAACGAACTCAAATAAAAACTAATTTTTGGCTACATAAATGCAACAATTATCCAATCGTTTAATAAGAAATTGATTCTTCACAAACTCTGTATTTTTGCAAAATGAATGCAACAATTTCCCCATGAGACAAAACTAAAACTTAATCAAAAACTAGGCTTATTGTTCAGTCAACTGGACTTTTTAAAATCTATAATTCCTGATTGAATGGTTGTCCCATGGTAACTTACAAAGATGCCTGTTTGAATAGAAGGCGGTGCTCCGGTGCATTCAATAGTAATACTAGGTTCCTCTCCTAGCGCAGAATGGATACGTTTGACCAATTCTTGTACATCCTTAGTGTCCACACGGATGGCGTGATCAGCACCAAGCTTGGATGCTACGTCCAAACGGTTCTGTTCAAGATCTGTATTACAACATGAATACAAGTACAATTGATGTTGGATATTGTGGAACCTTCAAAAAGAGCTTGAATAACATAAGATTAAAAAAATTCTACAAGTAGGACTTTTCTTTAAAAAACAGCACCTTTCTAGACAATACCAGAAGAATGAAATATATATGCGTGTTTGGTTGCATTTGGTTTAAGAAGAGAATTATCGGACGTAAAACAAATTGAAAGTTATGTCTTGCTATAGAATGCCTACTAACAATTAATTAACAAATGACATGATTTACCTGTTATGACAACAGAAGAAGCTCCCATTGCTTTGGCTGTCATAAGATTCACCAATCCAATGGGTCCTGGTTAAAATCAAGAAGATAAAGGATAATAAAGACGAATCAGTCATAGATGTATAAAGTCAAATAACTACAGGCATCATGGTCTACTGGATAGGACATCAGACTATGGATCAAATTGGTCATGACGAATGATAATAATTGATTCTTATTAAGCGCTTTTACAGAATCGTGATCAGAGTGCTGATGCATCATAGACAATGAATGTATATGGAACAACAACAATACATATAGCACTTAGCAGTAACACAAAGTATCTATCAATATACAAAGATTGGGCATAATGTTCATAACTAAAGCCCCTACCACAGCGGTTAAGTCCTTTGGGAACACATTTGTCTAAATTTGCCACTATCAGTCGAGGTGTACTAGTAAATGGGTACCCCTGATAAGAAAAGGATTCTTGAAAATTGACAGAGCCTCAGGGTAGCTTGGTTACAACCAAATAAATACTGGTAATGCAGAGGGGCCTCAAGAATTACCAGGGATACATAAGGGTACATATATAAATATCTGACAGAACAATGAAACATGATAGTTGAGTTCTTGTTTCAGTCTGCTAATGCCTTCTAAGTGCATGGTTATTGCTCTTGTTTTCATTTATGACATTTCTAGTGCCCTTATAGGACCTGAAATTGCAATGAACGCAATTTTAGACCCCAAAATGTGTGAAATTTAGCCAGTACGATCATACCAATTCAGCTCCACTTTCAAAAAAAGATAGTGACCGTTAATTAATTAGTTAATTAATAAGAACAAAACACAGGCCCGGCTGGTTGTGCCTATTATAACCAACACGAAATAGCCAACAAAGAGCCAACATCGTCATTGGCTGGAATACAAGGTAAAAGGCAGTGAAAAAATACACGGGGGCTCGGGGCAAATTAGCCCCCGAAATGCCCAAAAGAGCGCCCGAAAGTCATGAAAGAGCCCCCCAAAATTGTATAGAGTTCAATGCAAAACAAATTAAAGGGTGTTATTTTCATGCAAGCAAGCTTGAAAAGTAGCCCCCGAAATTTTAAAAGTATTTTTTTCCCTGGTAAAAGGCGCTATCTTGCTTTTTCAACGACTGATTTAAAGTATTGAATACTTGCGGGGCACCACAAATATTAGAAATCGTTATATTTATGGATATTTTAGCGACAAACGTTACAACAAACACATACCTGCTCCACATATGAGCACCTTACTGCCGATAGTCACCCCAGCTCGCTTGCATGCATGCACTCCAACAGATAGAGGCTCCAGAAGAGCACCCTCTTCCAGGCTTACATGGTCAGGTAATCTAGAAAGTGAAACAATACATGGTTTGAAAAAATGTTTGAAAATATCCAGACTGGAATTTACCAAATTATGAGAGATGAGAAGTTTCATGGAGGCATCTCTCTGCTGTAGAGTTAATGAGGGAGTATGTGAGATCTTTCATTACAGGATTTACAGCTAAGCACATGGTGTCTTGCAATCCTGAAAACTCACTCACCATGGAAACCTACAGAGAACATCTAGCTTTTATCTTGTTCATCACAAATATTTAGAGAGAGAAGGGGAGAGAGAGAGGGGGGGGGGGGGCAAAACACAATGAATATCACAGATCTGAATTGGCTGAGTTGTGTAGGTTGAGGATATACATAGAAGAAATCTTGCACAAGAACATACACACTTGGAATGAGGAATACATAGCTGGTGGGGGCAACCATAAGAATGGGATTAGAGGCATAAAAGAAACTGATGAATGGTGGGTGGACAGGTGGTTTAAATAAGCGTATTTAACCTACTTGTAGAGAAGATATACTTTTTTGATGCACTGGGCAAAATCACAATGTATTTACCTCAGGGGTGATAGTGAGCACTAAAAAAAAAAATAATAATAATTTCCTCAACCACGCCCCCCCCCCCTTGAGTTAAAAAACAGAAAGAGGATTTGGGGGGGGGGGGGAAATGGCATCTAACAACATTCCCCCTTTAGAGTAAGAAAAATTGAGAAATATTAGGGAAAGATTTGGAAGAATAGAACGAATAAGGGAAATTTGGATAAAATCGGGAAGAAAAAAGAAAGAAAAAAAATCAGGTAAATTTATTTATTTTTTAAATTGGGAAAAAATCGGGAAAATCAAATCAAATCAGAAAACCGATTTAAATCTGGTTTTTATCACGCCTGTTACCATCAAGACAAGTAAATGAATTGTGTTAAGTCTCAATTTAGAGTATATGTACATGTACATGTAAGTTTCAATGTCAATGGTTCAATCCTTCACAAAGATTGTTCTCCCCCGAGATTTCTCTCAATACGACTGTAACGAACCAAGTACACTGCTACATCCAGACTCCAAAGTGCACAGAAAATCAAATAAAGGTTAACTCCCACAAAATCAAGGAAAGAAAAGAGGAATCCATACGATATAAGTCAACATAAGGCTAATGCTACATTCACTCAGTCAACAGAGGTTTGTTTGATTGGCCAAGGACAATGGCAAGTCTGATCCGCATGAAAACAAGATAGATCAATATATTTTGCTGAACTTATCAATAGGGGCCTCATTTACAAGCATAAGTTGCTTCTTAGGGGTCCTGGCCTATTATTTAATCTATATTTATGATTTTTTATTTTATTTATATATTTTTTAATTTTTTTTTCATAATTTGTTTATAATGCCAAATAATTAAATTGAATTGAATTGAATATACAGATTAAGATTAGAAGATAAACAGACATATACATGAAGTGATAGCAAAAAATGAAGAGTGCAGTATACATCTTGTCTTTAAACGTTACACTATATATATATATATATATATATATATATATATATATATATATGTGTAGTCTGTTGTCAGACTCTAATTATACATTAACTGTGATCCTGGAGAATACTCCTTCTAAAGAGCAAACAAACGATTGTTGTTACATGTACAAGTGTGTCCCTCATTCAGTCTAGTATTCAGTAGCTAGGACAAGAATGAGGTTCCCATGTGTAGGAGCGTATCCGGACACCAACCCCCTGGACATCCACCACCGGATAACTAACCCCAGTCAACTACCCCCTAGGACAACTAGCCCCCCTAGGGCAACCACTTTCTAGGACTACCCCCGGACAACTACCCCCTAGGATAGTTCTCGGGGGGGGGGGGGGGGGGAAGGGGGGTAGTTGTCCTAGAGGATGGTTGTTGAAGTGGGTAGTTGTCTGGGTTGTAGTTGTCCGGGGGTAGTTTTCCTAGGGGGTAGTTGTCCTAGGGGACAGTCTGGGTGCGGCCTATGAGCAACAAAAGTCAAAATTTTGCAGTCAAAAAAGCACGTATTCGTACATATATGGGATTTAGCTAAGTACAATAACTATGCCAGTTAATGTACAATAGTACAGGACATTTCTAGATATTGTTGACATGAAGTTTTGTCAATCTCGTGAATAAACTTCATAACTTACCAACCAAAAACTACCGGTAGATCTAGATCTAAGTTCGTGCCATCGCTAAAGCAACCTCAATCCTCGCAGCCCGCACGCCAACCTAAGGTGCAAAACATGATCGACTGTGTAACTGCGTCCTAGGAGAAAGCTGAAATAAGACGCCATCTGGCTTGCCGCCCATGGTGTCGGCAAAAAAGCAAAACAATATTTTTTAAATCATTTATTTTTTTGTCTGTGAAATGTCAAAATCGGGGTGTGGCCTCAACGGCGGCAAATATGTTAGTCGTACTAGAGGGTGGTTGCCCTAGGGGGTAGTTGACTGGGGGGTCGGTTATCCGGGGGGTGGATGTCCAGGGGGTAGGTGTCCTACAACCGTGTAGGAGAGTCATACAGTGTTATGACTAGAATGCTACACTTCTGCCATAGAGTATGGTGTAAATGCAGTAATTCTCCCAATCTTCAAGAAATCTTCATTCATTTTATGCACATACTATAGTAACCTGCAATGTTGTATCTTTACTGGAGCAGAACCATACAGAGTAGAAAAAAAAAAAAAAAAAAACTCCAGGGCCTTTTAATTGATACAATTGTCTTCAATTCAAAATGTAGAATACCAGTACCCAAAAGCGTAATGGTGAGGTTCAATAAGTGATGATGTAGGGTGTTACAGACCTTATGCTTGCATGAGACTTAGACTTACTTGTAGCAGAAGTCTGCAGCATGGCAGTAGTATCGTCTAAGGCTCCCATCAATAGGGGGAGTGGCACAGAAAGCCATATCTGGACACAGGTTATAACGTCCTCCTTTGCAGAAGTTGCATAACCTGCACGGTACACCTGGTTCAATGGCTACACGATCACCTGATGAAATAAAATAATAATACATGTAAGTATCGTCTATATGTATTGAATGGCCAATTATTACTTTACTTACTTTACTTTAATACACGATGTTGTAGGTCTAAGCCTGTTCATCGATCCAGGATTCTTCCATGGTTGCTGCTATTTGTGGAGGGAGGAGGTTGTGTAATTAACATGAGACCTTCAAGAAGGTGAAGAAACTATCTGGTGAGAGAGACAAAATGCAACTTGCTGTTAAGAACAAGGACGGCATCTTAAAAACTGCTCCCGCAGATGTGTTGAAATGCTGGGGAGTACATTTTAGCACTCACCTTAACACACAATTTCCAAGGGACGAAAATGCTCTTCTGACCATACCTGACCCACAACCTACAGATAATCCAAGTGAACCTTTCACAATTGAAGAAGTAGAGACGGCAATAAAACTATTGAAGAACAACAAGGCCTGCGGGTGGGACAAAATAGCTGCTGAAACTCTAAAGGCTGGTGGACAACCAATGAGGCAACTCCTGCTCAAAATAATAAATGCAGCATGGTCGGAAGGTGAAACCCCGGAAGACTGGAGCAAGGGTCTTATCACCCCAGTGTTTAAGAAAGGAGACAAGCTGGATCCATCCAACTACAGAGCTATAACTCTACTCTCAATACCCGGGAAAGTTTTCTGTAGAATGGTCCTCATGAGAATACAGGGAACCATCGAGAATCATCTGACGAAGGAACAATGTGGATTCAGAAGTCTTAGGGGCACCACAGATGCTGTGTTTGTCGTCAGACAGATCATCGAAAAGGCCAGAGAAAGAAGGATACCAATCCACCTGAACTTTGTTGACTTTAAAGCAGCATTTGATACCATATGGCGAGAAGCTCTCTGGAAATGTCTGCGTTCCATTGGAGTGGACAAGCCCTTAGTTGACCTCATAGAGAGCATGTACAAACAAACCAAATGCTCTGTTATGGTGAATGGAAAGATAACTGAATGGTTTGATGTCATAACTGGGGTAAGACAAGGCTGCCTCCTCTCTCCAAGTCTCTTCAACCTATTCCTGGAATATGTGATGAAGGACATCCAACAACTAGAAAGTGGAATACAGATGGGTGACATGCGTATCAACAACATCAGATATGCAGATGACACCACCCTGATGGAACTCATATTTGAAAACCTCCAAATCTCAACAAATGAACTGGAGAAGGCTTGTAGAAGATGGGGTATGAAAATCAATGCAACAAAATGCAAAGTCATGACAGAGGATCATCAAGATATTTCACTTAACAACACCAACATTGACAAAGTGGAAAAATTTGTCTTTCTCGGCAGCACAGTTCCATCCATAGAAGAGGACGTGAAGAGACGTACACGACTGGCTGCTTGGGCATTCGGAAGACTGAAAAGTGCCATCTGGTCCAACCAAGATATTTCTAGGAGTCTCAAAGTCAGGATCTACAGAGCACTTATCCTCCCTATTGCCACATATGGAGCAGAATCCTGGACTCTCCGAAAATCTGATAGAAATAAGCTTGAAGTATCTGAAATGAGGTGTCTCCGGACCATCCTTGGAGTTCACCTAATGGACAAGATCAGGAACGAAGAGATCAGGCAGAGACTGAACATCCCAAGCACCATATGCGAGGAAATAACCAAACGTCGCTTGAAATGGTTTGGCCATGTTTTACGCATGCCGCATCACCGCCTACCATACCAAGCATTCCAAAATGACTTTAATGGACGCAGACCTCGGGGACGCCCTCCAAAGAGATGGAAGGACCAGGTTCAATGCGATGTCGGATTATCCACACAAGAGGCAGAGCAACGAGCCCAGGACAGATCAGACTGGAACATGATTTCTCGTAGGGGAGCAAGGGGACACACCGTCCTATGCACCTAAGTCAAGTCAAGTCAATAGACAACACCTAGACCGGCTCATACAAAAGGCTTATATTCTTTGACCAGTGACTATCAAGTCTATTCTTAAATGAGTTGACCGACCCAGTAGCCACAACGTTTTCTGGGAGACCATTCCACAGTTCCACCACTCTATTGCTAAAAAAGTATTTTCTTATATCTAGCCTTGAATAATCATTTAAGAATTAGTGAATTTTCGATGTATCAGGTAATCAAAGGCTAATCCAACCATCGAATTTGAAGTACGTTAATTCAAAAAGGAGAAACATACACTGAACAGCAAAAAGTTCTGGGCTACTGTTTAAAAAATTATTATGGATCCAAAAAAATCTACCTTGCTCTACAGTGCGTCCCAGAAAAACAAAACTGAGAATTATTGATGTTTTATCATAACTTAATCACAATTATAATTAATGAAGGACACATTTGTAAAGCTTAGATCTTTCATTTGATGCAGCCCAAATGATGCATATTTCATGCATGAGTGATAAAAAATAGCATGCAAGAGTATCAATAGATTGAAGGAGGAATGGAAGGAGAGAAGAGAGAATGTTGACTAGAGGCTAAGTGCTTAATTTTAGGTGGCTGGCACAAAAGGAAGTCTTTCCACCATCTGAGCATCTCACTAAACTAAATTTGACAACTTACCCACTTTCAAAGATGTTACTTTGCTCCCAACAGCTGATACAATGCCACTTGCTTCATGACCAAGGATCATTGGTGCATTCACAATAAAGTCTCCGATACGTCCATGGGTCCAGTAATGAACATCTGATCCACAGATCCCAACAGCATGCATTTGTATCTGCACCTCTGAAAGGATCATAAAGAATACAACGGGCCATTTTAATAATGTAAACAAATCTAACGCACAAATCTTTGTTTTATGAGCCTTGTTACAAATTATTTCATTCACCTGTTTCAATAATTGTATTTCAATCATCAGAATGTGACTTGCAGACAGAATTGTTGCTAGGTAGGACAAACATTATGGCTTGCCCTACCTAACAACATGTAATGTATGCAATTCACATTCTGAATATTCAGCTACATGTATGCTGTATAACATGGGATTATTCTAATTTGACACTTGTACTATTTCTATTTTACCACTATGCATATTAAATGTAAATGAGTATAGCTCTCTTCTCAAAGCCATTTTAAACATCAATGTTACCAGTATGTGCATTATAAGAGAACAAGTTAGCAGCAAAAGGTTCACATAAATTTCTGTATCCATTTCCCTACTGGTACTTCTCTTCCATATTACAGGTGTTTTAGTGATCCATTTTTAACCAAACTAAGATATTACATCAATTTTCTTCATACATGTATAAAAAACTAGATGGAATTCGACTGCGCGCAGTCGAAAATGATGCCTCCATCATAGAGCAATTTTACAAACCGAAACGGAAGAAATTTATCAAATTCAAGTTCAATTGTAATCCATTAACATGTTCTCAGAATATTGTGATTACAAGCAATTTCTCATATACATATATGACCCTTTGATCTTTGACCTCATGACCCTAAAATCTACTCAGTTCATTGGCTCTGCAAGATTTCCTGAGTTAAATAGTAATCCATCTGTCAGTTCTAATGAGAATGCGTCCACAAGCTATTTTTGCATACATAATGAGCCCATGACCTTTGATCTTATGAACCATTCATTGGCTCTGCAAGATACATAAATGATCTAAGTTTGGCAGGAATCCATCAATCTGTTCTAATGATAATACGATCACAAGCTATTTTTGCATACATAATGAGCCGCATGACCTTGACCTTTACCTCATGACCCCAAAATCTAATCAGTTCATCAGCTCTGCAAGTTACATACATGACCTAAGTTTGGCAGGAATCCATCAATCGGTTCTTGAGATAAGGCGATCACGAGCTGTTTTTGCATACACAATGTGCGCTGTGACCTTTGACCTCGTGACCCCAAAATCTAATCAGTTCATTGGCTTTGCAAGATACATACATGACCAAAGTTTGGCAGGAATCCATCAATCGGTTCTTCAGATAACGCGATCACAAGCTGTTTTTGCATACATAATGAGCCCTGTGACCTTTGACCTCGTGACCCCAAAATCTAATCAGTTCATCAGCTCTGCAAGATACATACATGACCAAAGTTTGGCAGGAATCCATCAATCGGTTGTTCAGATAACGCGATCACAAGCTGTTTTTGCATACATAATGAGCCCTGTGACCTTTGACCTTTGACCTCGTGACCCAAAATGTAATCAGATTGTTTTCCTATAGTGATACACACTATCACTAAGTTTGAAGTTTAAATCTCCAGTGGTTCTTGAGATATCATGATAACAATCTCAATGTATGGAATTTCATAAGTTGACCTCTGTGACCCTTGACCTTTGACATACGTGCTCCAAAATCTAATCAGATCGTCTTCCTATGGTGATACATACTATCCTTAAGTTTGAAGTTTAAATCTCCAATGGTTCTTGAGATATCGCGCTAACAAACTCAATACAAGGAATTTCATAAGTTGACCTCTGTGACCTGTGACCTTTGACCTACGTACTCCAAAATCTAATCAGATCGTCTTCCTATGGTGATAAATACTATTCCCGAGTCTTAAGTTTAAATCTTAAATGGTTCTTGAGATATTGTGATAACGGTCAAACGGGACGTACGGACGAACAACCCAAAAACATGATGCCTCCGGCACCACCTTCGGTGGCGGAGGCATAAAAAGTGTTAAGCTTGAAGGAGAAATAAATAAAACAAAAATAAAACAAATCAAAAGGCAAAAAAAAAAAACCCTGTCTCAATCAGTTATTCAAACTAGTACCCCCCTCGGCAGACTTACCATTTTCTGTTGGTTGAGGAATGGAAGTATCCTCCTAAATGAAGGAATAAAGGGGGAAAAACATGTCATTGTATTGTACATGAACTGATTAGGTATTCCATTAAATAAAATGCGAAGGAAAAACCAATTAATCTTGCTTTTTGAGAGAATGTGCAATAGGCATATCCGAGAAGTATTGACATAAGTCTTTTCTTTGTCCAAAATCATTTTACTCTGCCAGGAGTGTTGAGCCATATTATTTCAGATTCCTTTGCATTTTATTCAACAGAATCAATGGAATGTCATGTTAGGCGCCCAGACCTGAGGGACTCCACACTTGGCCTTAGAATAAGGAGAATTAGGATTATTAAACATCGTATGGTTTTGTTGATCAACTGACTTTGAAACCATTCCCACAGTGTACCTCTTATGCCATTAATAAGATAATTTTAAATTATTTTGTGGTCTATAAGGTCAAATATGAAATATACTAACACTATGAACATGACTGACAAAGAAAGCGGACAAAATATACAGTTCCTCAGGTAGACAAAAGAACATCCCTTCACTGCTATTATGTAAAACAGGTGTCACATGCATATTCACCTTTTTACATCATAGCAGTGAAGGGATGTTCCTTTGTCTACATGAGGAACTGTATATTTTGTCCACTTTCTTTGTCAGTGATGTTCATAGTGTAAATGATTCATGCATGATTGGTTGTTATTATTAGTATTATTTAAGAGTGTATTAATATTATTCAAAACAATTCATGTTCAAATGAATCTCCCACTCTTAAACCATACTGACAGTTAGTATGTTCGGTTTATAATATCCAGAAAAGAAATGAGTCTTTTATTAACAATTTGTTCTCGTATTTTCCCTCAGCAAGTCCTTCCTGATCATGTCACATCCTGTCACCAGATTTGCACACAATGTCATGTCATTGACTCTCATACCACCAATCACCATCTAAATGTTTTCAGCTTCTTTGTAGACCTAGGCTAGAGTTCTACAGCATCTTTTTACCCAAGCAAGATCCATCTGTCTTTGAAACATGCTCCCACTTAATATCTATACTCACAATGACAACTATCCAGTGTTTCAAGGATGAGGCTGTGCACTAGTCTACATGATCATTGCATTGGTGCCGCTTCCCAACTACAGTAGCGCGCCCTATAATACTAGGGCCTATCAACTATCCTAGCAGCCGCTGCGGACCCATTCGGTGGGCGTAGGTAAACTGCTCTGACCCCCAGCTGACTGACTCTACGACTACGACGATTCAGTAAATATTCAGACTAAATATCAGCAGAATATCAAGCAAACGGCACAATTTTTTCTTGGATTTACTTACCAACACAAGATTTCCAGTAGAACGTAATATAGCAGATAAATTACCACTACCCGGTGTAGGACTGGGAGCCATTTTGACGTAATTTTGGTACTTTCACAAAATTTCAACCCACTCCTTCGATGTGACAAAGCTAGGGTACGGTCATGAGATCGTATTAATAAACAATAGTTGAGTTACGAATTTGGCTACTTTTAGCGACCAATAAGATTTCCGGTACCTGCTAGCGCAGAAAATAAATACAATTTTGGGCCATGGTGTCTTCAAAAAGAAAAAAACAAATAATTAAAGTGTGAGATGAATGATTAAGACAGCAAAGAGATGAAAATGTGAACGCGAAATGTTTCATATTATAAAATAATAAAATCCTACAAACTTTATATATTTCGAGCGTTTAAATCGGGGTTGAAATCTTTAATTTCAATTACAAGTTGTGATTATAATTACGCCGATTTCTAGACACGCAATTCTACGTAATTTAGTTCATTGTAGAGCATAATATTTAAACGTCTTTGACTTACAGAGCGCGCGTAGCGCGCTCCATATAGGGGGGGGGGGGTGGGTGCAGGGAGGGGGGTTCCCACTCGAGCGAAGCGCGGAAGCTTTGACGTTTCACCAAATTATTAGAGAAAGAAGACGATTCGTTGTACTGTCCTCGACTCTTAAACCTTTTTCTTCCTACGTCCTCTTACTTTCTTCTTTTGGCCGGCGTTTTTTTTTTTTTTTTGGGGGGGGGGTCGCCCCCACCGCCCCCTGGCTACGCGTCTGAGTGAAAGAAACAAAATTAATACCGCTGCGTCAGATACAAATATCATTTCAGAAACGAGACCTTGTCTCATATGAGTATCATAAGGTTTCCTTTTCAGCTGGTCTCAATTTCGGGGATTGGGGCACTTCATGGGCGTTTGGTAGGCACTCGATCCCCACCACTTCGTCTGGCAGTGGTCATTTGTGTATCTGTGGACTCTGCCGAACAATTTCCCATTGGTTTCATGGGGTTTCCTTTCCAGCTGAAGTAGCTCTTTTTTTTTTTTTTTACTTCTTTTGGGGCGTCTGGCGGGCACCTTCCACCACTTAAAACGTCTTGCATTGTCCATTCATCGGTACCTCGAGACTACGGCGAGTCTTCTCATATGGGTTTTATAGGGTTTTCTTTTCAGCTGATCTAGCTCAATTTTGTTACCACTGATGTGGGGCCTCCCCTTTAATTTCAAGAAATGATATTTTTACCCCATAATTATAGTATATTCATTAGTTTGGAGGGGAGAGGGTAGTGGGGCCGGGGATCACAGTCGCTTCGATTTTCCCCCAAATTCACAAAAAAGGATGATTTCCGGTAATGAGATGGCCAAATAGATACATTTCATTCTTTAAGATATTTTATATCGAAATATTAATTTTACCTTTACAAAATACCCCTCTTTTTGCTCCCTCTCTCGGCTCGCTAAAAAAATGTAACTGCGTTGAAAGGAAAGACCTAAATATCTACATGTGGCTCTGAAGGCCCTGAAAAGTATTTTATGACGCTAAAATTGAAGTTGAAATAGAAATAAGTTTAATGTTTTTAAAGCCCCTCTAAAGTGTTGGGAGTCCCAAATTTGCCAAAAATTCATATCAAAACTTTACTAAAACTGCATGTATCATAATGTAAAAGAGGAGGTCATTTAAAAACACTATGTCCCTATTGCAGCCAACATCAAATTTTGTAGAACTTTGCAGGAAATTATGAATATGTCATGTATGTATGTCCTATCTGTGAAATTTGAACATTAGCAGTGTTCTAATATTTAAATTAAGGAAGGAAACCCGTTTACTTGCTAGACTTCACTGTCAGACGCACTATTGAGTGACTGACTGGCTTTTTCTTCTTTGGTAATAACATACATACAATGAGCTGTAAAGGGTACATGAGCATGTGTCTACATCAATAACCCACTTCTTGAAATGGCCAACATTAAACTGATTGAATCTTTGCGCAGCATAAAACGTACAACCATTCGGTACAATAGTCTGAAAATCAGACTATTTCTTACTGGCTGTATAGCTCCGAAGTCGATTCGACAACTAAAAGTCGTTATTTTCCCACTTAAAAACATTTTCAAGCCCCCCTTTTTTTTTATAGGGAAGTTCTAAATTAGTATTATCTTTCAAATGCCGTTGGAATTTGACCTTTTCATTTTTTGGGCCTGCAAAAGGGACATAGTACCTTTAAGACACACTTCTGCAAAGATTCCCCCCCCCCTCCAAAAAAAAAACAAACAAACAAACGGGAAAAAAAATTGTGTCTGAAGACAAATATTGATAAAAGAATACACAATTTGGTTTTCCTGTTATACGCAGAAAACCTTAATTTTGTATTCTTTTATAAATATTCGACTTCAAACACATTTGTTTTGAAAATCCTTGCAGAAATATGTTTTAAATGACATTCTCTTTCACGTTGGTACAATTTAAGTAAAATTTTGGGGGTACCCAAGTAACCCAACACTTTAAAGGGCGATGTCAAACAAGGGATGGAAAATCAAATCATATAAGGAGAACGATTACAACTATAAGTCTCTTGATAAGTGAATTTTTTTACAGAGGGGAAAAATGAACAACAATAATGATAATAGAAATAATTATGATGGTGATAAAATTGATAATACTAACAAAAATTGATAATAATAACGATAATAATAATAGTAATAATAATAATAATAGTGAAAATAATTATATTGATGTTATTTCTATCGGTAATAACAGCAACAACAGCAGGAACACAAAATAAATACTCTACAATCAACAAAGACACGGTGGGGGGGGGGGGGGAGGGGGCAGGGGGCAGGGGCATTCCCAGGCAAAGTGAGACAGATCACTCTTTTTTTTGGGGGGGGGAGGGGGTTACTTTGTCACCTCCTGCCATTTTTCCTGAATATATATTTTTTTAATCTCGGTTTGATGGCAAAGATATTAGTGCTTTTTTTTTTAAAGTGAAAGTCGTGAATTACGCTCTTATTCAAATTTTTGAATTAGTCTTAATTTTTAACTGAACTGGATAACATCCGGAATATAACGAATCGTTTTTCTGTCCTGCAGCAATATGTTGTCCCTCGTAAACTTGATTTCATGTACGTATGCCATTAATTAATTAAGTGTCATACGATAGCTTTAGAATTTGATACCGAATTTGGGCCATATTAATTGTATGAGTATTGCCGAATAAGCCCTGTACATGATTGGGGTTTTTTATCAACTAAAATTGATCTTAAAACTGATATGAATTCACTTTAACTTTTTTGTGTGTGTGTGGCTATAAACGATTTTATTCATTACATAAAACAATCAAATCAATTTTAAGATCGATTTTAGGGTTTAGTGAAACACCCCCCTGGTTTTGAGCCCTATATGATCTAAAACAATAAGACCAAAACATAAAGTTTAGGCATGTGACACACAAGAGGGTACAGAAAAGGATGTCAGCTTCTAAATAAAATGGGACATTATATAGTTAGATTGTCATTCGATAGCTTTTAAAACATATAAATCTAGTCTCTTATACTCCAGTTGCCTTACCGTCACGTGAGACCTGCAAAATTTCCATTTTCCTTTTCGAAGAGACGTTTTGGAGACACTATAACCCTCCTTATCGGTCGCTGGCTTTCTCTTTATTGGTCGCAGGCTTATTGGTCGCTAGTTTCAAGGAGCGGGAATTGAATGCGTACAAAACACATGCACGTGTGTACTTGTGTGTGAAAACTACATGTATGACATGCATATTCGTAATCTACAGTGTGCATGTGCCGGGTTATTCCAAATTGCAATCACAAAGTGGACGCTAATTCGATTATTTTTTCAGTGGATGCTGTTTTAGAAAATGGAGAACAAGTGCGGTAGATGCTGTGAGAAACCATCGGAGGTGGAATGTGCAAACTGTGGACAGAATGGTGGAAAAAATGACGCCGCAGGTAAGAGAATTATGACTGTATTCTGCACAAATCTTTAATCTCAATCCACTCTGTATGTGTATGACACTGACGTGCGTGACTGAGTAGTGAGCATGAGTCGCAGTTCAGACATGTCAGGTGAGATTGTCAATGGAGACAGAACAGTGTTTCCACTTGTCAAAATAAAATTTCTTGAAATGAATCTAGAACATCAGGGCAGTGTTTCACTAAACCGTTAAAAGACAAGTAGACTCTAGACCTAGATCTACAAGTACAATTCGATGAAATTTCTATGAAATTTAACACGCTTTACAACGCCAATAATTAATAAATGGGTGCCGTAGGCCTAGATCTAAGCATAAACCCAAAAAAGTAATCATTGAATCTCCTTTAAAATAGTACCATTCGAAAGAGCAAAGAAAATACATCTAAAATAATACCAAGATCATCACCTTAGATCAACAAATAGCGAAATAACAATAGTTTAGTTTAATGTAAAATTTAAAAAAAGAAGAAAACACCAACCCAGCCATTTTTGCCCCCCCCCCCCTTAATCACACAAGTCAATGGAGGGTTGTGTGACAACTTGTGACCTTTTTTTAACCCGCATCGGCAAGCAGCAATATGCACAGCTGGCGGCTGCGATCAAGAAGCCAGTGCAGCCCCATGAAAAATTGCGACACCCTCTCACCTGTGATTGGTATCGGCAATTTAAAAAAAAAATTTAATGTCAAAAATTTTGAAGTTTTTGGCTATCAAATGCTTTACAAAATCCAAGATAGCGACCCGCATGTTTTGCCTCTTCTCTTAGACCAATATTATTAATTTCAAAGTCATGAAAAGGCACTAAATATCAACAAACATGGTCTACAACAACTCCTAATGACACAATAATCCCAGCTATACATTTTTTTAAAAGCATTTGATAACCCAAGACTTGAAAAATTTTGGCATTAAAAAAAAAAAAAATCTGATTTTTTTTTGCCGATAATTTTGCCTATACCGATCACAGGTGCGAGGGTGTCGCTCCGATCTCCCGATCCGATCAAAGCCCCAACTTACAGGGTTAGGCCACCCTGTATTGAAGACGGATGAACTTCACTGCCAATAAAGCACAGTAATATATATGATGAAGTTTTTAATATGATTGTATTTACTTCATGCAGGTGCTGTTCCTCTCTGTTTGGAGTGTTCCAATCTACTTCATGTTGGTTTCATGAAAGGTCATAAACTTGAAACAATCGAGATCAAGGTAGGTCTTTTTTTGTACAGAGAAAACAAATATTAATAATAAAAAAAATGAGAGAAAACTAACTAAATACAACAGCAAAAGAAAACAGACTTGATTTGCAGTTTAGTTGTATACATGAACAGTAGGGTGGGGTGGGGGGGGGGGGGGGGTGGGGGTATTGGATCAGAAAAAATATTCAATTCAGGTATTTTAAGGCATTTAGAATTTGTACAGATCTGTGCCATCATGGCGAAAAAACACCCTCTGCCTCTTGAATGTATAAGTAAAGGTTCTTGGTTTTTGTCCAACATTTTTGATTTAGCTTTATGATGTGAGTGAAGTTATTAAAGTGTTTATGTACATTTAAAACACTTCTTAATTTGATTTTTTTAAAATAAATTTGATTGTAGAATTGACTAACAGTTTGTTTAACAAAGATTCCTTTTCAACTACAGTTACTTAAATATTGACTATATTATTGCATTATTGAATTTTCTCTGTTCAGTTGAAGTTTTGTAGAAATCATCCTCTAAAGTATTTTTCCTTCATTTTCCCTTCACTATACAGGCAAAAAGAGAAGAATTCAAGGACAATATGAAGAACTACAATAAGTAAGCTTTTATTTTGATATTTGTGGAATATAAGTTGATGTAAACTGCCTCATGTCACAATCTTAGAATCACTACGTGCAAATTCAAACGAGAACTTTTATGTCTGTGTGTATTTTAATCTATGATTGATGCAGTGCACATATGGATTTTCTTCATGAATGGTAACATATCTGTTGGTGTCTCATGCAATAGCTTATTGTTGCAGTTGGCAAAGTAGTTAAAGGTACTTAGTAACATTGTGATGGTTGATTTCACAAATCTGTTGAATCAGGATGCAAAACACGTAAAATTATGTTGGTATGTAAGGATTATCCAACTACGATGCCCCAAATCCGAAATTAATTCACGCAATATGAAGATTTTTAACAAAGTTCAACAGGTTTTTGAACGGGCGTCGATGTGCGGCGCTTCTGAATCTAAATTCTCCCAACCATTTTTGAATTTTCCCAACCGTTTTTCCATGAAAAAAAAGGCATAAAAACAGGCTGTAAAAAATCTGTCAACACTTAAATGTCTGGAATGTAATGTAAAGTAACCCTGTAAGTTGGGGCTCTGATCGGATCGGAAGATCGGAGCGACACCCTTGCACCTATGATCGGTATCGGATCGGAAGATCGACAAACAAAATCTGCCGATTTTTTTTTTTTTATTTATTTATTTTTTTTTAATGACGAAATTTTTCAAGTTTTTGGCTATCAAATGCTCAAAAAAATTCATGGCTGGTTTTCTTTTGTCATTTGGAGTTGTTGTAGACCATGTTTGTTGATATTTAGTGCCTTTTCATGACTTTGAAATTAATAATATTGGTCTAAGACAGACCTTCTCAACTAGTTTATTAGAAGCGCCAAAACAAAAATGAATTAAGGTTGAAGTGCCAACCTGTACGTTTGGTGACTGTGTTACGAGGGAGCTTCCGGGGTCCAGGAGTCGAAGCCCCCGGAAGCTAGTGGATCTTTTTAACACCTTTTTGTTCCATAAATCATCAATCATAATTTCATATTGATGTGAATTAATTAGTACAATTCCTGGCTAAAATCTAAACTGGAAGTTAATTTATATATAGTAGTTATTTTGGTGCAATAAACACGGAAAATGTCAAAATGAAGTGAAAATCAAACAAACAAAATGGCTTGCTTACATTTTGGGCTCAACTTCGACTGCGAATTTTTGATTTTTCTGAATTTTTTTATTTTAAAATAAATTGTTTTAATGTTGTTCTTTCTTTAATTTCTAATTTTCAATTTTTATTAATTTTTTGGAACAGCCGCGTGCCACTCTGACTGACCGCAAGCGCCGCCAGTTGAGAAGGCCTGGTCTAAGAGAAGAGGCAAAACATGCGGGCCGCCATCTTGGATTATAATGTAGGAATGCATTATAATCCAAGATGGTGGCCCGCATGTTTTGCCTCTTCTCTTAGACCAATATTATTAATTTCAAAGTCATGAAAAGGCACTAAATATCAACAAACATGGTCTACAACAACTCCACATGACAAAATAATACCAGTTATGAATTTTTTTAAAGCATTTGATAGCTAAAAACTTGAACATTTTCGGCATTAAAAAAAAAAAAAAAAATCTGCCGATTTTTTTCCGATCCGGCCCGCATGTTTTGCCTCTTCTCTTAGAACAATATTATGAATTTCAAGGTCATGAAAAGGCACTAAATATCAACAAACATGGTCTACAACAACTCCACATGACAAAATAATCCCAGCTATGAATTTTTTAAAAGCATTTGATAGCTAAAAACTTGAACATTTTCGGCATCATTTTTATTGATCGGCGATCGGAAATTATTATCCGATCACCCCTGATGGGATTGGTATCGGCGTCCGATCCGATGATCGTTTACAGGGTTAATGTAAAGCCATTTTATTGCTTTGTGAGATTTCCATTCACATGAAATGTAATTAGATTGTAATAATATAGTTGGGAGAATTAAGGAATCGATCGGATCAGTTTTTCCCAATTTGTACTATGAATAATGGTCCGTTTCCGCTCAAATTTTCAGATTATCTTTAATTGTACATCTAGCATTGAAGTCACTACCTTAGCACCACTATCTTTCATCTGAACAATGTTACAAAGTCCCTTTTAATGGTCACCAAGTATGCCATGAAATCACAGAAATTATATCATTTATTCTTTTGGATGGTAGTAATGCAGATTTGTTATCTATTTATTTATTATTTGTTTGTTTTTATTTAAACAGGGCAACTCTCTCAGTAATAAACCTGTTTTCATGAGAGGCCCTGTACAAATTATAGGTTACAAATTTAGAGGAAAATATATCATAGATTATTTGTTTTTGCTTTTTGTTTTTATACACCATGATATAAACAATCCAAGTAGAAAGAGCGCAAAACTAGAATACAAAAAAGAAGAGCTTGTTGAGGAGCTACCTAGGTGCACACTCAAAAGAGGGGGGGGGGGAGGGTTAGGGTTAATTAACATGCAACCTAAATCTCTGTGTATAAGCGCACTTTTCCCGCCAAAAAAATTGAAAGTTGGGCGTGCGTTTTATACACGGGTACAAAAAACATCAATACCCTCTTTTTTTTTTGCCCCCCTAATAGGGGTACGTCTTATACACAGAGATTTACGGTACATGTGATGTCTCATTTATTTCTTGGGGGCGGGGTTTGAAACTGTTCCTATAATCATGAATGAATAGGTGTAAATATTTGTTTGTGTAAGTTTGTTCAATGGTTATCTTCATATACTGTAATGAATATTCTTTTTTTGTTTGTTCTGTTATGAAGCTGCTAACTATTGCATTCTCTTGTCCCCTTAGGCTTAACACAGGGGATACCCAGCTCTATGAGGCAATATGTTCATAAATAATTCGAAGACAAAGCAGATTACTTTTCATTCTGTTTTTCTTTTCTTTTCCAGGAAAGAGCAGGTCTTAAAGCGAAGTCTTGTTGAGATCAAGCATGCTTACCAGAACATAACAAGCAGGTACAGTACCAACGTCCCTCCCACCATTAAAGGGATCCGGTAACTTTGTCTCAGATTCTGAAACAAAATTTTGGATTTAGCTCATGCTGCAATGATAATTATAAACATTGAAGTCAGTCAGGAACCCCATGACTTTTAAAAGCAGAACGCCTGTCTGATTATCAAGATATTTATGATTGGAGTTACAAATTTTGAAAACCGTTTGCCAAACGGTTTTCATAACACTAAAGTCTATTAGGGAAAACGAGTATGGTAAGACCGGTCACTCAAAGATTTTTACTTTTTTGAGGCACTCCTTGGATCATTTTTTTAGGGCTTCAATATAACACCATATCACAGACACTGATAACACATAGGGCGCTGTATCTCAGATTTAACATTGTTAAACGATGCCTTTAACCAACTCTCCCATCATTACCAACTCAAAAGGAAATAGATTACTTTTGAAATGTCTCATGACTTCCTGGTGACTGAATAACTGAAACTCTAAAAGATGGAAATTTGCTATTTAAAAAAAAACAAAAACTATTCAGAACGCTTGTCAGCCATCGTATTATGTAGGGCTGCATTTTTATTAAAAAGTTACAAGTTTATTATGTTAGGCTCTGTATTGATATAAAACTTTGGTTTAGGTGCGATCAATAGAAACAATCACAACTTTTGAGATGGGGCTGTACTGTTATTGGGTATTATCAATGAAGTGTAAAAATTATACATCTGATTCCTTTTTTGTTTGTTTTGTCTGGTTTTGTAGTGTTTAATATACCTCTTCAAGGATTTGAGTTCTGTAACTCATCCTGAAGTCGAAAAATTTGTTTCTATTGATGACTAAGACCACCAGTAGAAAGTTTTCTCATTTTCTGTTACATAGACATTGGACCTAAACCTTTTTCCTTTAATTTATGCAGGGGTGAGAACAACAAGTACACCATGCAGCAAGCTCTAGTGGCCATTAACCAGGCTCTGAAGAAGAAAGAGGAGGAGCTTATGTCGTGCATGACAAAGAGTATTAGCGCCCTCAAAGTTCAACTGGCAAGCAGTGAAAAGGACCTGGAACAACGTCTCAAGAAACTGCAATGTGTAAGAGAACTGTTTTGCTGTTAGTTATCTCTGGGGTGTTCCAGTTGAGACGGAAGAAATGAGTTGAATAATAATAATAATAAACTACTTACTTTTGAATCTTGTGGGTTGGTCGCGTTACACAGCCCTTTATGAAACGAAAGCGTGAGTTAACGCGACCTTTCATTCTGTCAAGTTCAGTAATGGTAATGAATAAATTGAGTTGGCCATTGGGTGGTAGAGCATGAACTACAGTGGGGTTGACTGCAAGCTCTGCTCGGAGTTCTACAACGGCAGTCTAGACAGTGGGAATTTACATTTCTTATTAATGATTCATTCGTATAGAATTAACAAGAGGTTAAACTGGACAAAAGATTTACTCTCAAAAATGTGTATCATGTTGCATTATTATCATACCCTGGTGGCATATACTCCATGTTTTATCTCATCAAAGATATACAGAGTTTGGGCTTGGGTTAATATTAGCTATGGTTGTTTCACAAAGACTAAGATCGACTGGAGTTGGACTTGAACCATGGCAGGCCATTCATGCGACTGGTTGCTCTCACCATTGGTCTCTCAAGGGATGTCACAAATCTACAGAACTCTTATTTTTTGATAGTTTATTATTGAAGGAAAAACATTATCTAAAGATCATAATTTCCAAGTTTTTTTTCCCTCTAATTTTACATCAGGTTCAAGACTTTTTAAGGGCATAAATCACCTGCCATTGTTCAAGTGCAACTTTAAAGGGAGTGGGTAGTCAGTTTCCATGTGCAGAAGGCTATAATTCGCTGACACCAGACTTGGTGGAAATACCATTAATGGGAGTACAAATCTGCACACAGCAAACCCGTTGGCCCGTCAAGAATTACCCCCTAGTCTCTCGGAGCATGCTCGGAGATTATTCGGGCGAAGGAAAAGCAAAGCATTACATAAGGTATAATGGTCATAAAACTCAAGGCTAACCCTGGTGATTGACAACACCTGTTATTTGGGTAAACACCCGAACGGTGTCGAATTCCCCATGAGAGCTGACTTCTATGTGACTTTAATTAGTCAATCTTAGTCTTTGTGAAACATCCCTTGGTTTAATTTAAAACTTTGGTTTCTTGTTGTCTCCAATGAAGTTTTAAATTTGATGGGGAAACACAGCAGTTTTCACTGAGTCAAACATGGTACAATTGATTTTATATCTTTTAGAATTTTTAAGATACCATTTTGGGGGGTATTTTTCCTTTTCAGTCCCATGAGAAGGCAGAGAAAGTTGTTGCTTCTGTAGCTGAGAAGTTCATGAGTGAGCATTCTGAGGTGGCGGAAGAGGTGAGTTCTTTCTCTCTTTTTTTTTATCTCTGTGTTTCACAGTTACGTGACTTGACTCCATTTATAGAGAGCTGCCTTTCAAATGGAAGCCTGCAAGTTTGAATCTATCTTGAGCAGATTGACTGAAACTTCTTCTAGCTTCAAAATTCTCCTGTTTTCCTTCTGACTGACCCTCCATTCCCCCTAGGCAATGGGCTAATTTACAACAAGTCTCATCAGCTTTCCTTCAGTGAACCAGTTCATTACACTAATTCAAATATCACATCATTCCGCCACCATTGTAGATTGAGAAACTCTTGAGTGAGAAGACACCAGGGGACATTCCATCTCTCAACATGTCCATCTCGGTCGACGCCCTGGACGTTACCAAGGTCCTGGATAGCCTCCAGAGCTTCGGCGCAGAGTGGCTGGCCAATCAGAAGACCGAAGAGAGGCCTGCACTGGCTGACAGTGTGAAGGAAATCAAGGAAGGTCAGTTCCTTGGAAAATTAGTCTTAATTTGGCGTTACATGAGGACTCTTTTGCAAGATATTGTTGCCGGGAAGCAGAATATAATTGTATCTCTAATACCTTTCTTTATTTGATTATCAAGAGAAGTGTATGTATATTTTGGATAAATACTAACAAATGTTAAAGGGGGACTGCACTACTTGTAGCTACTTGCACCTTCTATATAGCAAACAATGCCTTAGCGGTACCCGTTAGTCCCCCATGATCCCCTTTTTCTTATGTTAATTAACAGCTGATTTGATGAGATAACCACCTGTCAGTGACCATGCATGGAGGTTTAATCCCTCCTAGCCAAACAATTGCGGATAGGCTTTAATTTGGCAGCACTTGAGGACTGTTTTGCAAGATATTTTTGTCAGCAAGCAGAATATAATTGTATCTCCAATACCTCTCTTTATTTGATAATCAAGAGAAATTAATGGATATTCTGGGTAAAATAATAACACATGATAAGTTATAATAATTGGAAACAAACAACAACCATGGAGTTGTGATCACTATGCGATACTTTGCGGCTGTGTGCAAAATTTGCAGTGCTCAGTCAGGTTGTTGCCAAGATCAGGAAGGGGGGGGGGGGAGGGGCTCTGAGGGTTTTCCTCTTTCTCTCTTAATAGGAGGAACTCCATTACAGTAGGGTTAAGCACTTTAAATCCAGAATATTGTTACTACAGTCAAAACTGCCTATAGCGACCACCCAAGGGAAACACAAAAAGTGATCTTTGTAGACAGGTGGTCTTTGTAGACAGGTTCCTTTAGTACATGATTCAATGAGAAACCATTTTCCAGGGAAACAACAAATGTGGCCTTTGTAGACAGGTGGTCTTTGTGGACAGGTGATTACTAGAGCCGGTTTGACTGTATTATGATGAGAGTAATGACTATGTCCTGTATGTTGGTTTTTTTCAGGAGACAAGCTGAAGGGATACGTTGAGAGTCGAATGGATGCTAAAGGATGTTTCTGGGTTTGTCAGGACTTGGTGGAAGGCATTACCAACCTGTTAGATGATCTGAGCTTTGAGATAAGGTGAGGATTGTACGACACATGCTCCTTAAAGAGAAGGATGAGTTCTGGGAAGAGGTGAAAAAATATGTTTGCGTTATCATTGTATTATGCAAGTGTGGAAGAACATCAGATACAAAATGTTCCATGAAAAGCATGGCTCTTTAAATGCCTTAATATTCTTAATATGGCATGTAACATCATAAAAATTTTACGCCACATGTTTTTGTAGTCCCATATACATCTTCCTGTGTACAGTGCTTGTAACTTTACCAAGACTTTTCAAAATTTCTAATCAATTTGATGATTCCAGAACCTCGCAGTACACACCAATACTAATATGCTAGATTATCATTTTGTACTGATTGATTTCACACTGTTTCTTTCACAATGCAATCACATGACCAGAACTCAATTTAAGTCAAATAGGACTTTTGCAGGAATTACTTTTTTGAGATGGCCTCTTGCTCAAATGGATTCTTACTTATTTCTCTCGAGTGTTCTTTTGTTATCATTGGTAAAAAGCCTTGTTGGAAAAGAAATTCTGGATTAATTTTCTTCAAGGCACTAGTGCATGTACCTTGTTAAGCATTAAATTGAATTCAAGTTCATTCTAACAAACTGCATTTTATAGCTGTCTTCCATTCAAAAAGAATTTTTAAAGATATATGTGCCATATAGAAATTGATGCTTCAAGACCTCGTAACTCATTATTTAATCAGCTTATCTATAAGGCCCTAAAAAGAAAGATGTTGTATTGCCCTTTGTGACTGACCCAAAACTTTTGAAATTGACGGTCGGCTTTTTAAAGAGTTTTTTTTTTTACTGTTTTTTTTTAGAAAAAAATTGTGCTAAAGCTTTCAAAACTGAGAAATATCAGCTCAAAGAGAGAGTTGAAAAAAAAAAAAAGCTTTCCGACCAATCGACCCATGTTTTGGCACCTAAAGGGCAATACATCATTTTTTTTTTTTTTTAGGCCTAACATGAGTTTGTATCATTTATCACATGTAGAAAGGACATTATCACTCATGGCTGGGAGGATTTAACTGTCCAAGAGGGTTCACTTTGCGTTGCCCAGTATTATCAAGATAACCGCTGGTACAGAGCGAGGGTGGAGAAACTCAAAGAGGTATGTATTCACCCATTACCATGTCCAAGATTAGAACTGGGGAAGATATAATCTACCTGGTGTAAAGTGGACATTGATTGAGAACTGAAAAGTCTTTTGTGTCCTTGAAAGGCAAGACATTGAGCTACTTTTGGTACTCCATATTAAACCAGTAGAGAGATGGGGACGTGGTAGGCTGACGAAAGCCTTTGTGATGGTAATTGCCATATGCCCTCACGGTGACCACATGGTAGGAAGTGGAGATGATGCACATTGTGTGCTTGATCGAATCTGATTGCCAGTGTAATAATAGTCTGTACAAAATGCTCAGAGAGTACTGATACTGATAACTCCAGATTTATTATTATTACTTCATCACTTAGTGTGGAAGAGTATCTTAAAAATTGTCCCATGAAAGAAATGGCTCAATTAAAAGCTAAAGGCTGTGGACCACACTTTCATGCCACATGTTTGTGTAGCCCCATTTGGCATAAAAGTATTGGTGTATAATTACTATGAGGATTTGGAATCATCAAAATTGTAAGATGTTAGCCCTGTACTGTTCAAAGTCACATTCACTGTGCATAGAAATGTATATATATATATTTATTTTTTTTTAAAGAAAAAAATATATACATTTCTATGCACAGTGAATGTGACTTTGAACAGTACAGGGCTAATATCTTATAATTTTGATGATTCCAAATCCTCAGAGTAATTATACACCAATACTTTTATGCTAAATGAACAACCTTTCATGATCGCTTCCTTCATAATGCAATTCGTGGTATGATCCCCAATCACGGCACTTATGTCCTTTGGCAAGGCATTAATTTACATTTGCCACACTCGACCCAGGTGAGGTAAATGGATACCTGGCAGGAATCAATTTCTTCAAATACTTAAACGCTGAAATGGCAGCTAGGCTAAAGCCGGGGTAATAATTGAACAGTTCACCTCGGAATAGAATTTCTAGATGGACGGCGCTATATAAATGCCTATTATTATTGTTTTTATTGATCACTCAAACTCTACTTTATCTTTGAATACCCTTGCATTCTCTTCTAGCACACAGCAGAGGTACGTTGGTTGGACTATGCACATGGTGATGAGGTTCAGTTGAGTCACATCCAGCCTCTAAGAGAACGCTTCACAGCCATTCCTTTCCAGGTTAGTCACAAACATCAGCTTAAAGAGAAGGTTGGGTTCTGGGAAGAGGTGAAAAATAATTTGTGAGCATTATCATTGTACAGTATTATGCAAGTGTGGAAGAACATCAGAAAAAAAATGTTCCCTGAAAAGCATGGCTGTTCAAATGCCTTAATATTCTAAATATGGCATGTAACATCATAAAAATTGGGACAGATTTTTATGCCACACGTTCGTGAAGTCCCATACACATCTTACTTTGTAGGTCTGGAGTCTCCCCCCCCCCCCCCCCCCCCCCCCCCCCCAACATTGTTGCCTGCATTTCAGTAGAAACCTTCAAAATCAGACTTTCAAAATTCAGGGGGGAAAAAAAAAAAAAAAATTCTCAAGATTTTGGCTATCAAATACTCAAAAAAACATGCATTGCTAGAATTATTTTGTCATTTAGAGTTGGTGTAGACCATGTTTTTTTATATTAAGTGACTCTTCATGACTTTGATAAGAGCCAAAACATGCGAGCCGCCATTTCGTATTATAATGTAGGCACACAATTTGTTTTCCATTGCCAATCAATCAAATGTGGAATTGATATGGCTGGGACTATTGAAAACTACTTGTTGAATCTTGTACCTTTCAGGGTTTGGAGTGCTCACTCTTTGCTGATATGTCTGAAGAGATGCCTCGTCAAGCTCGCTGGGAGTTCACTGATCTCGTCTCTAACATGCTGTTGGACTGCACTGTCATCAGGAAGGTAAGAGATCGTTACAGTAGGTTTTGATCAGTATCTAGGCAAAGGCATCAACCAGCAATTCCAAGGCTAAGGCTTTGACCCCCTGATGACCAAGGCTTGAAACCTCAAGACAAAGGCATTGACCAGCAAGTCCGAGGCCAAGGCTTTGACCCCCTGATGACCAAGGCTTGAAACCTTGAGGACAAGGCAAAGGCATTTATAAAGAAAGATAAGGAAATAAACTTGATTGAACAAAGATTGTGATTCATCAGGGATGCCAGTTTTCAGGCAATAGCCTGAATTCAGGCCCTAGCGAGTTATTTTCAGACCATAGTTTAGGCTTTTTTGTGTACAAAATAGCTCATTGTAGGTGATTTTCAGGCTCTCTGATCGATTCTAACTGGCATCCCTGGGTTCATACAAACATACAAAAAGAGACAAAGAACATGTATTTTCACAACCAAAACTTGGTTTATTGAAGAACAAATACTATCAATAATACATGTTCCTTTCAAAGTGGTATTTCTGTGTACAGGATGTTTAAGTACTCTAACTGTTTTTGAAATTTAAACAAGATTTTGTGAACTTCTGCAATGCAACTGGATGTACTGATGCCTGAGGTATCTCTAAAAATGATCTGATATACATGTACTAATATCAATGTATGTCTGTATTCAAAACTTTAAAATGATTTTTTTTTTTTTTTTTTTTTTTAAATTATTATTATTATTATTTTTTTTAAATGTATTTTTTTAAAACTTCTTCAGACAATAATTTTTATATAATTGCATTTGGTACTTGGATCATAAGTGCTACAGACCTGGAGTTATGCATCCAAAACTTTGCTTGAAAGAGAAGGCATGAAACTAAAATAATTGATCTAGCTTTGAATGCTCAAGTCTTTATCTGAACAGACTGTAGAATTACCTACTACAGGCCAGAGTAAAATATACAAATTACACATGGTTATTAAAATCACTTGAAAAACAGCTGCTATAAACATGGTGGTGTCCTAACAGGTAACAACTAATGTATGCTGTTCGCATTCAGACTATTTAAATACAATTATTTGTATCAGATGAATTAGAAATTTCGTATCGAGGCACTTCATGAAGACGTATGCATTAGATTTTGTTACATATCGAAAATGGTCTATTGCTTGCAGTGTCTTTCGCACTGTAAGGCCTTTAAAAAAAAAATGTTGTATTGCCCTTTAGGTGCCAAAACATGGTCGGTCTGAATTTTTTTGTTTTACTTAAAAAAAAAATCTAACTCCCTATTTCAGCTGATATTTCACCGTTATGAATACTTTAATACATTTTTTTCTAAAATTCCTTAAAAAAAAAAAAACTTTTTAAAAAGCCAACTGTAGATTTCAAGATTTTTGGGTCAGTCGCAAAGGGCAATACAACATCTTTTTTTTTAAAGGCCTAATGGCATGACCAGTTCTCAACTCTATCTTCCAATATTTGATCCATTTTACCTTCCAATATTTGATCCATTTTACATCTAGTTGGCTTCTGCCGATCAAGGGAAGGTACCTTTGTATCTCATCAGACTTGAACAAACAGAAGGAGAGCAGCAAGACATTGCAGAGACTGTCTGGAATAAAGGTATGTTCATCATTTGGATTGGATTACTACTAACAAACTTTCAAGTACCATACAACCCCAATTCATGTTAGATTGGAGAAAATGAAAAAAGTAAACTTTATTGTAAGAAACTGCTTATGGAAAAAACATTCTTTTAACTCATATCCTTTCATGAGGCCGCATGCATGCTACCGTTATAGCGCTTAGTACACACGAGCGCGCTTATCGACTAGCTGCTTAATTCACGCGAACGAGCCACAGCTTAGCTGCTTTATGCATGCTCGCATTCGTAATATCAGTTATTGTTCATGCTCGTGGTACTGTGCTGAGTTCTTCGCATGCGCTATTGATCGCACCATCAGATTATCTTAAAATAAACTTGGCACAGGGGGGATTTGAGGCTTAGCACAATGGGGATTAGCCCTGTGGCTCTTGGCTGTATTCATTATGGCAGGATAAGAGTTAAATTGTTACAAAATGTATTAAACTTGTTGTATGTCTGTATTGTAGTCTGGATGTAGTCTGGATCTTTTTCCTGGAGTATATAAACATTTGAAATCTCCTTTTGTTAGGTTGCTAGAAATATGGAATCTTCATTCTGCTTCACTGCCTGTATTTATCTCATTGATTGTCTTTGTCTGTGTCCTCTTTTACAGCACAAGATTCAAGAAGTAGCAAGGTAAAAACTATGTTTGAAGTCAGAATATTGACAATTTTTAACCGTCTTCCTTCCTAATCTTGTAAAATCAAACGGTCTATTTGAATTAAGAAATTCCTTCTTTCTTTTTTTGTATGTACATGGGGAGGGGGAGGGGGGGGGGGGAGTTAGGTCTGGTTAGTTCCTGCATTGTTGTGTCTTTTAGCATATTGTCAACATGACATGTATAAGCTGTAGTAAAAAATTGCAACTGCACAATTCATTATTAAAGATAAACTCCAGTTCTGGTAATGCGATTGCATTGTGAAAGAAAAGGTGTGGAATGGATCAGAAACAGTTGATCATGTAGCATGTAAGTATTGGTGTGCACTGCAAGGTTCTGGAGTCATCAAAATCATAATAAATTTGGCCGAGTCTTTGTAAAGTAACAAGCACTTTACACAGAAAGCTATATACGGGACAACACGCATTGTGTCGGGGCTAGTACTACCTTGATGTCCTTGTCTTTCTATGCTCATTACTCAGCCTGTATACATTTTCTTCCAAAATTGTTTGGCACATGTCATTTATTTGTAATCTTGAACATTCAGTGTAAGTTTCGTTTGATTCTGTGAGAATTAATTTTCTTTTTTTTTTACCAGTACTGGAGTTTATCTTTAAAGCCTGTTTATATGACGGATTAAATTTTGATGTTAACATTAGTTCAATGTCATACCACAGATCAATGTCATACCACATCGACCTAACCACAAAGTTTTCTTGGTGTAACATATTAAAGCTTATCTGTACTAGTTTATAGGAGGGATTAGACTGCCCTGCAAGGTCACTGGACAGGTGGTTATCTCATCAATTCAGCTCTCAATTAACATAAGAAAAAGAGGATCATGGGGGACCAATGGTCACCGATTAGGCATTGTTTTCTACATAGAGGGAGCAAGGAGTTAGAAGTAGTGCAGTGTGGCTTTAAAGCATACATGTAAAGCATTATTTCATTTTGGACAGGGACCGATTGCATACCGGGACATCCGTCTGCTTAACGAGGAAGCCAAGGACATCCAGATCTTGAAGGAGGTCGTCAACTCCAGCAAGACAGCGACGCCCGACGATGCAGCCAAGACGACATCCGATGAGGCGGACAAGACCGGCAACGGGGAGGAGGAGGGGCAGAAAGAAGATGGTGAGAAGGACCAAGAAAGTAGGGAGAAGATTGAAGAACCTGAGGAGGGACAAGAGATTCCAGATGAAAGCGAAGATGCAAAGCCTCCCATAATAGAGAAGGAACCTCCAATGAAAGATGAGGAGGAGGAAAGGAAGAAAGAAGAAGGAGAGGTAGAGAAAGAAGAAGAAATTGGGGTTTCTGAGAGTAAGAAAGAAGAAAAGACAAGTGAAGAATCACAAAGAGGTATTACAAATGATGGGATAAAGATGAATGATAAAGGAAGAGGAGAAAGTTGAATTTATGTTTCAAGTGATGAATGCATCTGTGGGTAAATAAAATGAGATTTGTTTTTTTATATGTTGGCACAGTAGCAGTAGAATTAGATTAGACATCAGTACCCAAATTAGTATGTGATGTTTGCACTTTGGCAATCTATTTTTATTCTTCCTCTTGTTATGGCACCATTCAATTTCTGCCAGTCTTTATCCAAATTATTTTCATTTCTCATATCTTGCAAAGCTATGCTGTACATGTATATTATGCATCTGTTTGCTCTCTCTATTCTCTTCTTTCTTTGTCATTCATTCTTCCTTTCCCTTCCTCCTTCCCTCTTTATCTCTCTCTCTCTCTCTCTCTGTTTCTCTTTTTCTGGTCCGCATCTATTTTTCATTCTTCAGTGTTTATTAGAAATGCTTCGCACGTTTGCTTGTTTGCTTTATATCTAGATATCAAACACATAAATGACTATACTCCAAATTAACAGTGCTAACTTTTTGTATTCTCATACACTCTCCTCCTTGCTTCCCTGCTTTCCGAAAGAAGAAGAGAAAGAGTCCTCCAAACCAGAGGAGGAAGAGGGCAAGATGGAGAATGGAGCTGACGGAGAGACAGAAGGAGTGAAGGATGAAGGAAAAGATGGAGGAGAAGGCCAAGAAGACCTTAGTCTAGCACAGAAGCTTGAGAAACAAGGAGACACTGCCCAGGCTGATGGGGGTAAGATTTCGGGAACGTAGCAAGAAAGTCAAGTTCAAAGGATATGATTGCAGGGCCCTCAGGGAGAACATTATTAGTACTGATCACACATAGCTGCCTTACTATCCTGGCTGTTTATTAAAAGCTGTGCTATTGATTCTCAACATTTCAAACACCACTGTATGAAACTCAACTGATTTCACTAAAAATTGGTACTTTAGTGACAATTGATGACACCTAAATAGCAGTAAAATACAATTTTTTAACTTACCGATGTTAGAAAGAACAATTACAAAATTCAAATTGTTAGTCTAGTGCTAACTTGCCGATCAGCCACATCAGCATTTATGTAATATAAGTGTATTGACTATTCATGTGTGCAAATGCTGCCTATTAACACGTAATGCAGTGCTAGAGGTCAATACGCATTAGCATTGACTCTCTATGCTTTGCTGGAGTGGTACTGATGAGGTTTCTCTGTGCAAACAAGATTCATTATTTGTAGTAGTAGTTTTATTAGATTCATTAACATATCCAGTTAAAATTTGTTAAGGAAAGGTACAGGGCTCGAATCCATTCCAAAGCTCTAATGTTCTTTGGCAAGACATTCTACATTTGCCACACTTGACCCAGGTGAAGTAAATGGATATTCTTAGGAATTCCTTGAAACTTCAGTACCTTCATTAGGGCAGCTAGGCTGAGCCAGGGTAATAATTTAAAGAACATTGGAAGTGCATAGAGACATTGATAAATACATGTACCTGTATGTGGTATTGTTATATCATTGGAGTGAGTACAAAAGGAATCTTTTTCCATAAAGACCACCTGCCTATAGAGAATGGTAAGCAACGCTGTTTTATACGTACAGTCATTCCTGCTTTAATAGCCACCTGTCTACAGAGACCACATTTTTTTGTTTCCCCTGATAATGGACTCTCATTGAAACTTGTGCTAAAGGAACCTGTAGATAAGGACCACCTGCCTATAAAGACTGCTTTTCTTTTCTCCCTTGAGCGATCTTTATAATCAGGTTTCACTGTACCTTCAATTCATTTCAACTTTTAAAAATGTCCATCTTGTTGCAGTTCCCACAGGAACGCCCATGTCCCCCATGGCGTTCATCGCAGCCCATGGCAGCTACACGGCTATCAACGGCATCAGTAGTACTGAGAACAGCCAAGCCATGGCACCGTTTGCTGGACCACAGCCGCAGCTCGACGCAGGCTGGTATCAACACTATGCAAGCCACTATGCTCTCACCAGTATGGGGTATGTCTTCATTCATATCATTACGCTTTAATTATTGTATATCACGTCTCTACTATAGTTTATTAAATGTAAATTATATGTTAAAGTTGCTCATGCAGTATAGAGGGCAGCACACACTGGAGCATAATACCCGTTAGCTCAGTGTTATGTAGTGATCGCCAAGATGCCTACATGTACTCCACGAACGTCTTTATACCCAGGCATGAACATCTTTTAGTATTGATGAAGAACTTGTACAACTCCACTATTGTGTTTGTGTATAATTTGCATGATCTGTCAATTTCTACTTTCATTTTTGATCTAGTTAATATCAAATTGCCTCCTTTGATAGAGTACTGTGGCAATATAGAGCATAGCTATTTCACAAGACAAAAAGAAGATGGATATTTACTTCTTCCAAAATTTAGCAGTGAATTTTAGAATAGATTACCTATTAATATCATAATAACAAGGTTTTGAAATAGCTTTAGGAATTCTGTTACAAGTCATTTGTTGAACTAATCAGGAATAACAAATCCTTGCAAATAGTCTGCCTTTTCCTCCTTATGTAGATAAATTGTCACTTTAATGAGATATATTCGGCTGATAAAAATGTATTATAGTTTTGTTTCAAGTATTCATATTATATTCTGTTCTCTTTATTTCTTTCTCTGTATTTTCCCTTTTCTTGATCCCTCCTTCCTTACCTTTCCCTTCTTTTCACCTTCTTCTCTCTTCTTTCCATTCCTTCCTCCCTCTCCCTATCATAACCTCCCTCTCACTTTCCATCTCTCCCTTATCTCACTTTCCATCTCTCCCTTCTCTTACTTTCCATCTCTCCCTTATCTCACTTTCCATCTCTCACTTCTCTCACCTTCCATCTCTCACTTCTCTCACTTTCCATCTCTCCCTTCTCTCACTTTCCATCTCTCCCTTCTCTCACTTTCCATCTCTCCCTTCTCTCACTTTCCATCTCTCCCTTCTCTCACTTTCCATCTCTCCCTTCTCTCACTTTCCATCTCTCCCTTCTCTCACTTTCCATCTCTCCCTTCTCTCACTTTCCATCTCTCCCTTCTCTCATTTTCCATCTCTCCCTCCTCCCATCTCCTTCTCTTTCTCCTTGCATCACCCTTTCTCTTCATTCACTATTGTATCCAGGCTTCCTGCAGGCATGGCTGCTAGTGGAGATGCTTACGGCATGGGTATGTATACAAGATTAGAATAGAAATTGTATATGTATGATGATAGTACTGATAAATAGTATCCAGAGTTTTATAGCGCTAAGCATAAAAAGAAGAGATTTGTTGAGTTCTGATTGTGATTAGATTTGTGTTGTTTTGAAATAGAAGAAGAGAGAAGAATGTTAGGTGGAGTAATCAAAATTATTTTACAAAGAACAATTGCAAATTGATATTTACACAAGCATGAGAAAGCTAAAAAGGTGTTCAAAATTCAAATTTGTTAGTGTGAAGATATGCCTTCAAATCTCACAGATATATCTTGTTAAAACAAACTTCAAAAGGCTTGGAAAACATCTTGTTCAGGGAATCTTTTCTGTCTTGCCCTAGAGTAATTCTACTATTCTATTTCCGTGTTTTAAAAAGTTTCATGTAGTTTCTCTTTCTCCTCTATGTTTACAGTGCCAGGTTCCCATCTTGGAGTCCATGTTGCCACCCCTATGACAGCAGATGGAACATTCTGGGCTGCCAGGGTCAGAGGTCATGAGCAAGAGATCCGATTCAGGAGGCTCATGCATGAGATCAGGTAGCTAGGCTCTCAATCTTGTATCAACAGACCTTTGTGCTTATAGTATACTTGTCTTTGATCAGCTTAAATATCTATGGTATACATATATATCAACCAACATTTAGAAGTAGACAAGGCCTGAATTTTGTTGTCCTTTAAAGTTTAAACAGATTCTATTCAAGATGGCTTCTTTTAGGCCATTTATATAAAAAAATCATGTTGAGTCCGCCCGCTTCCTTTTTGGAGGCCGCCTCCTGTTTTTTTTTTTTTTAAATGAGTAAAAACATGAAAAACATATTGCTAAAGTGATCAATTTCAGATTTAAATTGCTGGCAGCCCTTTTGGAAGAAAAAAATAGGGTCTCCTTCCTACTTTTCACAAAGGCAGGATGCTAAACATGTTTTTGTTTTTAATTGTCTTGTCATTTTCAATGTAAGCATTTTGTCTTTTAGGGTCTTCTTTATCTTGTTGACACTTGATCATTGATCAAACTATATTGATGTTACCTTCATGTTTATCTCTCTCTTGTTCTCTCTCGCTCTCTCTCTCTCTCTCTCCCTCCCTCTCTCTCTCATTCCCTCCCTCCCTCCCTCTATCTCCTCCTATCCCACAGTGCTCCTGCCGACCCACTGACCATAGATCAGCTTCATAGAGGTAAGATGGTGTGTGCCTTCCAACATGATGTGGGGCATTGGTGCAGGGCTAAGGTGGAGGAAATCGCTCAGGATGTGGTGAGTCTCAACTCTATTCTTATTTCAGGAACAGTTTTATGTTGTATTAATCATTGGTGTCATCTATGCTTGGAAGGGGATAAGCAACTGAATCATTGTAACCCTCTGGTCTCTCTCCCCCCCCCCCCCCCCCCCGATGAAACCGATCGGGTGGACCACTGCATCAGGGCTAAGTTGGTGACTCTCCTCGACATGGGGCCTCCATTTCACATCCTATCTGAGGGACATTGTTTGCCTGGCAGAAGGGTGCAGATGGGGGATATACGCTATCATAACAACACATTCCATACTTTTGACAACGCTTTCACTAGGTTATGCAAAACATGCCAGTCAGTTCAACCTCCAAACTACAGTGGTATTATTACTTTGGTAATAACAACCAAACAGTAAAAACAATTATTAAAACAAATACAAAATGAGTTTTCGCCTACTGCCATGTAGGTATACAGCAAGTTTTTCTTGAGAATTTCTTGATCGCCTATTGATCTAAGGAATTGTTTGAGGAAAAATCTCCCCCCCCCCCCCATTGGTTTCATGTGGCAAGTTTTCTTGCTTTGAATGACATTTGTAGTGTATTTGACCTCTTGATATTTTACCCTTTTGTGTCTCTCTTGGGATTGCTATTATCAAAAGGTATGTGGGTGCTTTAGTAGAAGCTTTCTGTTTTTGTCTTTTAAGGCACTTTTGTTTCACATGTTTCTTTTAAAGCCCCACTGCACTACTTATAGCCACTTGCGCCCTCTATATAGCAAACAATGCCTAATCGGTGACTGTTGGTCCCCCATGATCCTCTTTTTCTTATGTTAATTGAGAGCTGATTTGATGAGATAACCACCTGTCAGTGACCTTACAGGGTAGTCTAATCCCTCCTATAAACTAGTACAGACAGGCTGTAAGATTTGTTTATTTAGTCATTGGACTGCAAAATGTAATTAATCTTTTCAGTCACAGCACCTGTAATATTTATTACTTTTTTCACAGGAATAGGATTCCTCATAGTTGCTACAGGTTGTTGAGTCGAATGAGAACAAAAAAATGAGAAAAAGAATTCATCACTTTGTAAAAGGCAGAGATCTTGTGAAGTTTGACTGGAGCCTTCAGTCTTTCAGTGGTAGCATAGTGAAAAATTATTAATTTCATCAACAAAACAAAGGAGAAGTGTCCTTTAACAATATTGAACCTAATACCGAGATGCCAATTCAAGATGACGATAAACACTCTTTTTGCTCATCTCCTCCCTATTCATAACTTTGTTACAATTTGAATGTGAAAGAAAATTGTATCTTGGCACAGAAACAATAAATGATAATTATGTAGTGGTGGTTATTTCTTTTTACATGACTGCTAAGAGAGATAGAGCAACGTCGATCTGGCGCTGCTCAGTGGCTGCCGGGCTCACGATCAATTGGGCAAAAAGAATTTCCGTTTCGGTTTAATAAAATTTGGAGTGGACTATTAGGCTAATATTATTATTATTATTATTATTAAGAAAGCATAAATGCTAGTTAGTAAGCGACCAGAAAACCGGGTCGCCAGAATACGAGACCACTGCTTTACCGACTGAGCTATTGCACCTCCTCTAGAGCACCTCCTATAATTACTTTACATCTTGAATCAATGTGATAGATACATCTGTATTTTTTTTCTCGACTTCAATCCCCAGGTTCATGTGAGATTGATTGACTTTGGATCGGTAGCTACACTGGACTGTAAACAGCTCAAAGCATTGGATGTTAGGCATGGAGTCTATCCATTCCAGGTAAGCCTTTATGACTTTTGTTATTATAAGTGATATCTTCTATTTATTCTTCTTCATGTGTTGATAAAGTGTATCCATCATGTTTGCTGTGTAGGCATTTAAGAGTATATTTTAGTAAATTAGACCAAGACAAGTTGATATTCGGTTTTACATCAGCCTTATAATGGGAAGAAATACGGTTATTGCACTTGTGTGCCATCATATCCTTTGTGATACAAACCATGAACTTGTAAATGTAATTCAGTTTAATAATAGATAAAGCATCAAAAACATCAGAAGCAGATGTTTTTCATGTTTACATTGGCATAAATAACAGCTCACAAAGTAATTTGTATATTAAGTAGGTATATGTTATAAGCAGAAACATTATACTAGGAATGCCAATAAGTGGCAATCCCAAGTCTTTTGTTAAGAATATGATGATAATAATAATCTGGATTTATATAGTGCTTAATACAAAATTCCATCTCTAAACGCTTTACAGATACTACTTTATATTATTACAATGAATATTTAACATATAAAATAGCAGTTATAACTCTTAACTTTGTGTTGATTTGTAGGCATTTGAGTGCAGTCTAGCCAAGAAGGAGCTGACGAGTTTCTCTGAGGGCACCAGACAGCTGTTTCACCAGCTGACTGCTAATAAACTAATCACTGCCAAAGTGGTGAGTAGTACATCTCTACGTGGTGATTCCACATACATGTATGCCCTTGTGTCCGTTGCTCGATCAATTCAATTCCATCAAGGTTTATTAAAACATGACTGGCCATCACAGACAGAATTATACATGTTTTTACAGTGCAAGTAAAATTACAATATTTATACAAATTGCAACAAATAAGAAAACACATTAAACTGAAAGAATTGCCAATTTCATCACTTTATACTCAATTTCAACCGCGACAACGATCATTGAATATTATAAAATCGCATATCCAATATGTTCATTTGAACCAAATTCATGACCCCATACCAAAACTTTGTAATACCTTTAATGTGTGCTCTTTGTCCAACAGGATGCAGTCTCAGACTTTGTGGTGTATGTGTCTCTCTTCTTGACCGCTGAGGGAGGCGAAGTTGTAGATGTTGTAGCTGAACTGGCAAAGAATGGTAAGCAACGTTGTTTCTTTAACGACTACCTGTATAGAAAGACCACCTGTCTACAGAGACCACATTTTTTTGTTTCCCTTGAAAATGGACTCAGTATGTTTCCATGATCTCTATTAATCACAAATGAGACAAAGATATTTTCAGGTTATTGTTCTACCATATGCAATCAGAGTTTTACCCCAGTTTTAAGTTAGATGATGAAGTATCTATATTCTATTCCTCTTTGGCATAGAAGATTCATGTAGAAGGTCCCTTAACCCTACGTTAACTGGGGGGGGGGTCAATTTGACCCCCCCCCCCCTGTAGAAATTTTGCGACTACTCCGAAACCGCGGCAGATATAAAATTTTCCTTTCATGACTTTTTTCTTTTGAATCTTACGCATCTTTTAAAACAATTTTTTTGAAAATCGGACGTATAGTAACAAAGTCACGTGACCTTTTATCTTCGCATGTCAGCCCGAAAATTGCTCATTTTTGTGATTTGTGTACAAAACATATGGAAATGTCATTTTTCCTAAAAAGAGATAAAACATTAGTTATTTAGTCTTGTTTAAAGTTTAGGTGTTTGTTTTGGGGTCAAAATAGTTGAATTGTAGTTATTAAAGAAATAAAACAACAAAACCCCCCCCCCCCCCCAGTAAAAACCTGATCTGAAATAGCCCAGTTAAAATAGGGTTAAAGCCTATCTGCACTGGTTTGGCCAAGAGGGATTAGACCTCCCTGTGTAGTCACTGGCAGAGGGTTATCTCATCAAATCAGCTCTCAATTAACATAAGAAAAAGGGGACCATGGGAGATCAACGGGTACCCCTAAGGCATTGTGGGCTATATAGAGGGCGTAAGTAGCTGTAAGTAGTGCAGTCCGCATAAAATGTTCTCCCCTTGTACTGATGATTTGTATTGAGGATCGATCAAACTTCTTGTTGCAAGAACAATTCACTCTTTCATTGAAAATCAATTATTTTCTGCATGTTTGTCACATTTTAACTTTTAACCTTTTATTTTGCTGTTATTTGTCTTCCTTCCAAACAGAGGATCCAACCAGAGGGACTAAAGGCAAGCCAGAAAGCACACATTCTCAACCCAAAGGGTCAGTAGGTCATATGTGTGTGTGTGTGTGTGTATAATTGGGTTCTTACAGACGTGTGTCAATAAGATATGATTATTTACGTCTGGGGACCAACCTTAAACGTAACCATCCGAAAGAGGTGACTCAGTTTCGAACCTGCGTCCTCGGCTGAATCAGTTTGTAACTTCCGAATTGTTAGCTGGATTACAGGCGCACGCCACAACGCCCTGTTTCTCATGTAGCCTTGCTCATGACACTTGAGCTGTATTGCAGAGGTGTAAGAGATGAGTGGTTTAAATACTTGACTTGAGGTGAAAGGGTCAACAGTGTGATTCTGACATAACACTTATGTTCTTAAAGAGAAGCGAGAGGTGAAAAATAAGTTGTGAGCGTTATCATTTTCATTATATGCAAGTGTGGAAGAACTTAAGAGGAGAAATGTTCCTTGAAAAGCATGGTTCTTCAAATGCCTTCATATTCTAAATATGACAAATAACAGCTTAAAATTGAGGGCCAATTTTTAGGCCACATGTTTGTGTAGTCCCATGTACATCTTTCTGTGTACAGTGCTTGTTACTTTACAAAGACCGGGCCAAATTTCTTATCATTTTGATGACTCCAGAACCTTGCAGTGCACACCGATACTTATATGCTACATGATCAACTTTTTCTGATCGATTTGACACTGTTTCTTTCACGATGCAACCGCATGACCAGAACTCAACTTTATCTTTATATATTCATGCACACTTTGGTATTTATTGTTACTTTTGATGTTCTATTCAAATTCATTTTTCATTCCAAATCCCTAATAATTTGATTGTTTATTCCTTGCAGGACTATGTCAAATGGACTGCCCAAATCTACATCAAGAGTGGGCTTCACCCCAATCCTGAAAGATATGTATAGGTAGGTAACAAACAAACAAACAAACATACAAACAAACATACAAATAAAGAAACAAACATACGGATAAACAAACAAACAAACAAACATATAAACATACAAGCATGCTACACATTGTAATCTTTGTTATGCTCCTCCTCCTCCAGAGTTGTCTGTCTCCTTTCATCTTTCTCAACTTCCATATCTTCCATCTCCATTTTTTATTTTCTTCTACTTTTAAATGTCTTGTCATCACCCTGTTCTATTTTGTCAGGGTTTTTTTCCTCTTAGAAAGGCAGATTTTTTTTTCACGCTGTAACTCAACGGCTACTGAATTTTCTGATTCCTGTATGCTTCATACACGGATCACATGGTCCACAAAAGAAATGGGTCAAATTTGTAAAACCATTCCATTCCTTTCTCTCCAATCTCTCTTCTTTGTTTGAATCAGAGTCTGGAATTTACAGTATGAAAACATTTTCTATTTCTTTGCTTTGATGAGAATCAATTATTATTATTATTATTATTATGACAGATATTTTCATCTCATCTTTTGTCCACATGCACAGTAGCATTATTATTTTGTCATTTGTATGAACTTTGCAGGAAGTCACCCCCATTCGTGGCTGATGTCGAAAAAGATTTTGCAAACTTGATCAGTAGTGTGAACACCGAGGTAAGCATGTATTATCCAATAGTTTATATCTTATGTGAATCCTAAATTAATTTTCATTTGTGTTGAAGAAGAGCATGATGAATTAATGGGCTGGCAATGGGTGTAAATCTTGAGGAAAATGTATTGCAAAGTTTGGCTTGTTCTTTGATAACATCTATGCAACATGTTTCAGTCCGTAAACCAATCAAATCATTGACAATGAATGCTTATTACTTAACTAGTTTTGTAACCAAAAACTTATTAATTTTGAAGGAATAAAAAGAACAAGAAAGCTCACAAAATAGTTTTCAACTTTGCCAAAACTGAAACTTCTCTTGAATAGATTGATTGTCTTCATTTTACTTGATAGTCACAGCTAAGTTTAATCCCCTAGTAAGCTGGTGGAGTCAAGTTCACTTGTTTATCTTAATTGCTATCTTCAGCCTGTAAAAATGACTATATTCCTACTATTGAATAGAGAGGTTGATATCTGGCACTCCATCAATCAGTGGACTGTTGTAAAACCAGAAAATTTCTCATGCATGAAATGTTTAAAGGGATTGGGTATCTTTGTTTCAGATTCTAAACAAAATCCTGGATTTAGCTCGTACTGCAATCATAATTATAAACATTTAGGTCAGTCAGATTATCAAGATATTTATGATTTCGAAATCAAAATTTCAAAAAATGTTTTCCCAACAGTTTTTATAATGCTACAGTCTATTGGGGAAAATGAGTATGGTAAAACCGGTCACTCAAGGATTGTTTTTCTTTTTTGAGGCACTTCATGATCATTTTGAAGCGCAATTTGTTAGGGCTTCAATATTACACCATATCACAGACACTGATAACACGAAGGGCCATGCATCTCAGATTTGTAAAACTGGAAACATTGTTAAACAATGTCTTCAATAGGATTTTTATGCCTCCGTTACGAAGTAGCCGGAGGCATTATGTTTTCGGGTTGTCCGTCCGTCCGTCCGTACGTCCGTACGTCCGTACGTCCGTCCGTCCGTACGTCCCGTTCTCGTGATCGCGTTATCTGAAGAACCGATTGATGGATTCCTGCCAAACTTTGGTCATGTATGTTACTTGCAGAGCCGATGAACTGATTAGATTTTGGGGTCACGAGGTCAAAGGTCAAAGGTCACAGGGCTCATTATGTATGCAAAAACAGCTCGTGATCGCGTTATCTGAAGAACCGATTGATGGATTCCTGCCAAACTTTGGTCTTGTATGTATCTTGCAGAGCCGATGAACTGATTAGATTTTGGGGTCACAAGGTCAAAGGTCACAGGTCACAGGGCCCATTAGGTATGCAAAAAGAGCTCGTGATCGCATTATCTCAAGAACCGATCGATGGATTCCTGCCAAACTTTGGTCATGTTTGTATCTTGCAGAGCCGATGAACTGAATAGATTTTGGGGTCACGAGGTCAAAGGTCAAAGGTCACAGGGCTCATTATGTATGCAAAAATAGCTTGTGATCGCATTCTCATTAGAACAGATTGATGGATTCCTGCCAAATTTCGATCATGTATGTATCTTGCAGAGCCAATGAACTGAGTAGATTCATGGGTCATGAGGTCAAAGGTCATGGGCTCATTATGTATCCAAAAATAACTTGTGAACGCATTCTCATTAGAACTGACAGATGGATTACTATTTAACTCAGGACATCTTGCAGAGCCAATGAACTGAGTAGATTTTAGGGTCATCAGGTCAAAGATCAAAGGGTCATATATGTATATGAGAAATTGCTTGTAATCACGATATTCTGAGAACCTCTTAATGGATTACAATTGAACTTGAATTTGAAAAATTTCTTCTGTTTTGGTTTGTAAAATTGCTCTATGACGGAGGCATCATTTTCGACTGCGCGCAGTCGAAGTTCCATCTAGTTGTGATTGGTTCAGATTTGGGAAGGTTTTATGAATGAATCACGAGTGACACCATACTTACTTTTGGAAATTTGCGAAAGTTCCTTGTTTTGTAGTGAGTTCAACAAGGGCTTGATAGTTATCCGTAAGATTTTTAAATTGACAGTATTTGTCCCTTCTTTTTAACCCCATCAAGTCGCAGCAACCTACCCAGATCTATACATTCCCTCCAATGGCCAGAGACCAACGTGCATTCGTCCATGAAATGGCTAACTTATACTGCCTCTCTTCAGATAGCACGGGACAGGAAACGACTAGGCACGTCATCATCACAGCAACAAGGTACTGTGGCCGATATTCAATTCAGTACAATACTTGTGTTAGAAATATGAGTATTTTACCAAGTTTACAGCTTGGATCATAATAATTTTGGATGTTTATATAGCGCACATATCCACCATGCGTGGTGCTCAAGGCGCTCAAACTAATACCCCGGCTCTGCTAGGCAGCCGATTTCGGCACTCACAGTAGATTGATATCTTGCCAAAGGACATTAGTGCCGTGGTGGGACTTGACCCGAGGACCCTGTGATCCACAGTCCAATGACTTATCCACTAGACCGCAACACCTCTAGATAAAATACTCAGTTGAAGCTTTTGGCTAAGTATTTTATAGGCTAAGATTAAGACAGCTCCTGAGCAGACTTGAGCCAATTATTTTGGAGGTCTTGATTGACAGGTATAGGACTATCATAACCAGTTATCTTCAGCTGCGTACAATTATAAAATTGCACATCTAATGCAATGTGATTATTATGCAAACATTTTGAACGACAATGTGATGTCACAATGCTTATCAATAAGTCTTTTGCCGTAAAGTAGACTTTCTAAAAAATGCTAAGAAATGATCTGAATACGAATTAAAACATTTTACTTAGCCAAGTAAAATTCTAAGTAAAATACTAACTTAATGTTCTAACCTCTCCCTTGCCTTTATAAGCAAGCACATGAATATGAAGATCTGTCTACACAGGCCACTTCCTGGGGTTATTTTTGTGTCATTTTTGTGTTTTTGTGTTGTTTTTGTTGGTGTCAGGCAGCTCAGTGAAATAACTATGAAGTGGTCAATTGTGTGATATATCACCAAAAAATAATTTAAAGGTAAAGACCAGTATTGGAAACGCCCCAATTTCAAAAAATGAAATGGAAGCTCTTATTACCAATCATGTGAAAGAGTATGTTTTGACTAATACATGATGATAAAAATTTTGCCGGGAAACGTCCTATTAATTGATATATTTGGTAAATTAGTTTATCTATTGGTGTGTGAGAGATAAACGCACGTGTCGCGCACGTGTGCGTAGTCCCATATACATCTTTCTGTGTACAGTGCTTTTAACTTTACGAAGACTGGGCCAAATTTCTTATCATTTTGATGATTCCAGAACCTTGCAGTACATCTATGCTAGATGATCAACCTTTTCTGATCGATTTTAACAACGTTTCTTTCACAATGCAATCGCATGACCATAACTCAACTTTATCTTTAAACTAATTTATGAAATCTTTTCTTTTGATCAGAGGGAAGAGCTTTGTTCCATCCCCTATCCTCACAGAGGTCTGTCAGAACGAACCAATGCACGCACCTGGGGCGTACGTGGACGAACTACAAAGGTATGTAGGAATGAAAATGAGATGGGAGAGATGATGTGAGGTGAAAGAGAGAGAGAGAGAGAGAGAGAGAGAGAGGAAAAGTGAAAGGGGGAGGGTAAGAGAGAGAAAGAGAGAGACGGAATGTGTAAGAGAGAGCGAAAGAGAGAGACGGGTCGAAGAAACATACCCTCAGCGAAGTTTTTATGAACGAACTAGTAAAACCCTCGGTTGCATAGAGGGGTTAAACAGCAATGATATACCGGTAGATATAGACATAGAGATAAAAAGAGAGAGAGAGAGAGAGAGAGGGAAAGATAGAAAGAAAAGGAGAGATTCATAGAGATAGAGAGGTTGATAGAGTGGAAGAGAAGGATAGAAGGGAAGGTGGAGGGGCAGGAAGAGTAGTTCAAATGAATCTTGATGAAGAGAGAAGTTGTATCAGAAAAGGGGAATAAGAAGTGTAAAATAATGAAAGAGACCATTGTCATATTTTAGAGCAGTCCAGTCCAGTTGAAATGCAATAGAACATCTTAATCAGACTAATTCAATCTATTTGTGACGGTAGTTCTATCTTAGTAGTTTAAGGCTCATGACCCAAACATTCTTCCCTTGTTAAAGCGACTGCAATGGGAATAAAAGACACCTTTAATGAGTAATGCTTTATTAGCACTTTGGTGATCGAGCCCCTGGGATGGATAAAAATCACTATCACTTTTGTTTGATTGCTTTGTCCAGAGAGAGAGAGAAATAGAAAGAAAGAGGGAGATGGAGGGAGGACAGGAGGGAGGGAGGGGAGAGAGAGAGAGAGAGAGGAGGAGGGAGGAAGAGGAGAAGAGACCATCACTACATGGGAGGTAATGTTTGTAGTGTTTGTAGTGATGAGAGGCTTCAATAAGTAATGCATTTGTTATCATCATAATCATCATCTCTTAGGATGGTTAAAAGTTACTATCATTTTCTTTGGTTGTTTGTCCAGTGAGAGAGACCATCGCTACATGGGAGGCAACACCCGCGGTGAGGACAGACAAGGATGCTTCATCTGCGGTGACATGTCACATCGGAAAAACAACTGCCCAAGGAACAGAAACAGAAACCAGCAGAAGAATTCAACCTGGTGGTCTGGAGATGGAAGGAAGGTAGGTTCCTGCATCTGGACACCTACCCCCTGGACATTCACCCCCTGACAACTACCCCCTTCCCCAAGACAACTATCCCTCCCCTAGGATAGTTGTCCAAGGGGTAGTTGTCCTAGCGGATGGTTGTCCTAGAGGATGGTTGTCGTAGGGGGTAGTTGTCATAGGGGGTAGTTGTCGTAGGGGGTAGTTGTCCTAGAGGGTGGTTTTCTGGGGGGTAGTTGTCCTAGAGGGTGGTTGCCAGGGGGGGGGGGTAGTCGTCCTAGAGGGTGGTTGCCCAGGGGGTAGTTGTTCTTGGTGGTTCTGGAGGCAGGCAATCAGAAATGAGCAGTCCATGTATTGGATCTCTCCGTAGTCGATAAAGAGCCTCCACCAGGCAATGTTCTGATCAAAATATTGATAACCAAGTGCTCTTAGTGGAGCTTACCAGGTCAGTTTTTTCAGGGCTCTTTGAAAGAATTAAATGTTGTAACCCTGAAACATTTATTTACAATTGAAATCAGAGTGACAAGTATTTGATCAGGTTTCAAAAACAAACAAAATTTGTAATTTGTTCATAAGATCTGTATCTCGTTGAGACATCTGAGTTACTGGCATTAAGATTGATACATACGGTACTTGCATTCCATTATCAATTCCCCCATATTTCAACAATATTCTACTGAATATCAGCTTATAAAGTAAAAGACATCTTCTCCTTACATGTTGTATTCTATATGACTGAAAGCTTGTATTGTTGTTATTCCGACTCTGTGGAAATGCAAGTGGAAATGCAAGAGGTATGCTATTTTGAAAAAGTTGATTATGAGTAGTGCTGCATTGTTATTTTTGTCCTTTACTAATACCTTTTTCCCTTATCTCCTCTCATCTACAGCAGGGTCGCAAAAGCGGTGGCGGCGGCGGCGGCCGAAGGAACTGAGCAGTCAGTATTATCTTGAAGAACTATTTTAGAACCATTCTGGTAGGCCTGCGTACATTCATGAGCTACGGAAGGGATTGAACATGCTTCTAAACACGGCAATCTTCATAGGACACTGCAATGTGTGACAGGTGTCTCGAAAAACACTGGCTGGACACTCATTTTTGGTGCTTAAGGTGTACACTTTAGTTCATGCGATGCCAACACGAGCACCAAATCACCAGCACCAAGTTTCGTTACTTCATTGTTTGTAGCTTTTATGTTTTTTTCTGTGTCAAAGATTTGCCTGGCGATTGGACTTTGTTTTCTGTCTTAAGCATGGAAGTCAAGATATGTGGAAAGAAGTTCAGCTGTGAAAACTTGAAGCAATAAGTTATTTATTTTTGCTTATGTTATATTTTTTACAATTATGTATGGGGGATACACATTTTCTTTAGTTGCCATCAGCAAAAGATATGTTGATCGATTGGTATAGGAAAAATGCAACAACAAAAACAGACTAAAGATTGATGAAGTGATATTGTAGATCAGTAAATGAAATTTCAAATATAGAGAATGAGTGTTTAGGAATGAAAAGGGAGGGATGTTCACATTAGGGGTGAACAAATAAAAAGCTTGCACATTTCCGTTTAGAATTGTTTGTACTTAACCTTTATCTTCTTCTACAACAGGGTTTAGAATTTCTTTTTCAAATATGCAGACATGATTCAAGAAGAAAAATAGGGACTTATCTTCCAAAGCGAGAATAATCAGTTGTTTCAATTACTGGCTCTGATCCAACACAAGAAAAACTTGAAAATTTTCCCAGCTTTTTTCATCCTGTAATTATCTTTCCATTATGTATTTTTCTTTTTGTATTTTTTGTATTTTTTGTGTATTCTTTGTGTATTGTGTCATAAGCAGTCTATTCTATTAGTTTCATTTCAGAGAATATGCAATGTTGGTGGCAAGAGAAAGCTTTGTTATCTTTCAAACAAATCAAATGAAAGCTGTGCTTGTCATGAATGTGATTTCCAACAAGTTTTTGTTAGTTACTTTTGCAATTTGCTGCTCCGCACAACCCAATTACCACATGATAAACAGTTTAGAATATGAAGTTTAAAGTGTATCAATAGCCAAAACATGTTTGAGGTATTAAGGGGCTCTATGTTTGTATATTGTAGTCAAATTTGAGCTTCAAATATATCTCCTTCAAAGAGATATTACAGTTTAAATACACTCCCAGGGAACTGTATAATGCTTGTTGAGTAGACTACTAAATGCGTAAATACGCTCTTTCATAGAAAAGGGCTCGCATGGAGCACAAGTCCAAATCAGGTTCCGTGCATGCAGGGTTTTATGCCATCCTTTATTTTCCTCAAACATCCTCAACCATTTAACAATAGAATGCCAGATAAAGTTCTTTTTGGAGGTTGATTTTATACATTCTACCCATACACAATTTTTTTTTGCTGGTTATTTGTCCGCTTTCAGTGAAATTTTCTTGAAATGCGGTTCCACTGCGAAAAGAGAAGGATTAAGTGGGCTAGTCCAAGGCATGTGGTCATTAGCTATCCCATTTGTCACAAAGAATAAACCAAATCTATACAAGAATATACATATCACGTGTCATTTTTCTTCTTTATTTTGCCTACTCCAAGCTCCAGTAGGGCCATCAACTTGAAATCATTGGTGGGTTTACCAAAAGTTGTGATGATGTTGGTGACGTATGGGTCAGAATACAATGGGCTTACCTCAATTCAGTTCCCTCCCAAAAGTTATCCATAGTTGCTAACATTCCATTGTTGTTCTAAACATTTACATCATGGAGTGTAACAATCAATGTTTACTATATCACCCTCATGTCCATTTATTCACCTTGTTTTCTTGCCAGTCATGGAGGGTCGTTTCCTTTTTCATGTTTTATTTTGGCTGCACAAATGTGTCTTTGATATTTCATAAAGAGTATATTATTATATATACCTGTATAGATTCTTCATGTAGTGTAATAAAGCACCCGCTATCATTGTTTGTTATAGTATTTCTTGTACTCCCCTTTTCTATTTTCTCAATTTCGATCGATTGAGAAGTTCTCTACCAACCGAGCTTCTGGAAACAGTTGAGATTACCTTAAAAATTAAAATACTTGATGCAAATGTGGTATTAATACTACATGTACTTCTATCCTTGCAGTGCTGTAGGTGGTTTGCATTTAATGCTGAAATTCAAAATGGGTTCATTACTTTGAAATGATAAATACAGATGAATTATGAAAATTGGAACACTTATCAAACCTTATCTCATTAAATTATCTGCAACTCATTTGAAACTCAGTAAGGCATTATACCACACTCAATTACGTGGACCTAATTTGTATCCTAAAAATATGTTAAAAAACAAATGGGCATTTTCAAACGAAACAAGTATTTTTAATTGATTAAAAAATCAAGTTTTTTTGTGGGTAAAATTTGCCAGTTTTAAAGATTTAAGTCTGCCACTGGAATGTTTTAACACCCCAAGATGTAATGTGAAGCTGAAATCCTCTTTTTATCTTTCCTCACAACCCAAATATGTGCAACTCACTGTAGATTTCATTTTATACATGTACTTCTGAAGATACAGTTTGGCTAGGATAGGAGAAATAGACATTTTGTTTCAAAGAATGATTGATAAGAACCAACTAACTCATTCAAAGTAATTATATTCTTGGAATAGAGATTTGAAAGAAGAAATGGAATGGTTTTGAATAAGTTTATTTGCATTTCATTGGCTTCAAAGTTTGAAAAAATAATTTGGTCAATCGCAACAGTATGGAGTAGAAATAAAAGATAAAAAATCAAGTTGGTTGTGTTATTGTTGATAAATGTACAGTCCGGCATCTATGATCGACATGTATTTGATGAATTCATTTGTTTTCATGAGAACTCTTCATTTATAAAAGAGAATTGTTCATGAGAATATAATGTGTATGGGTACATCACAATATATTTAAAGATCACCTTTTGATTGTTCACTGCTTTCGTGTAGTGCTATTTTTGTAGAGTTTAAATTTTCTCAACACTTTTTTCCCTACAATGTTTACCAAACTGCCATTCATGAGAAATACAGATTATGTATGTAAACAAAGTGTACATTTATACATATACAAAATTATGGAATAATAACTGGACATACATACAATTAGGAAACCATCATTACTTTCCTTTTTTTCTGGGGGGGGGGGGGGTGGCCCATTGGCCTCTTAAATCCTGTTGCAACTATTCTATGAAAGTATTATACAGGGATGAACTTCAATCAAATTTTGTGTACAGATTTTACAGAGAAACATTACCAGGGCAAAGTTTTGGGAATCATTGTGTTAAGAGTTGAAAGTTCACCTTTTATGACTATTGACATGATTGTCACATTATTTTGTTGGAATATCTTTTGGTAAAAGGACTTCCTTATTGGAAGAATAAAGTGAACGATTCGGATATTATTACCGTGACAACAAGATGCAAGTATGATAAACATGGTCAAATTAACTTGCTATGTTTTAGTGTCATGACGTCAAATAGATTTTTTCAATTAATGGTCATGTTCTGCATATTATCATGAAAGTATTAGTTTCACTGATGAGGCATTTTGTATTGAATATGTCACACTTTTGTTGTGATATTGTTATTATGAAGAAACAAGGTTAAATGTTTTTGCGGGTAGTTTTTCTTTTGAGGAGGGGGGGGGGGGGGGGGGGGGAGGCACTGAATTTTGTAATGGTTTCTTTTCCCTTTTTTTTTTAAACGAGATACAGGCATCGCACAAACACACACACACAATTTTATTGTTTTTCTAAATATTATTTTATTGAAGGGACAAACTATGTTTGAAAAATTAGGTGTTGCAAAATGCACAAGTTTTAGAAGATTGTTAGTCATCTTGAAATAGGAAAAAAAAACAGATATACAATGAATGTGCTGTTCAGGCAAGGCATATACATGCACTTTTCAAAGTAGAAAAGGAACAAGAAAAAGAAATAGATATACATGCAGGAAGTTGGTCTACATATACATGTACGTATGTACACATTTAGCTTACATTGAATTTTGTGTATTCATGTTTTGTGCTACTGTTGTTCATTTTTGTGTATGTTTTATGATAACATATTGTGTTAACTACCAAACAAATGTATTGGTGGTATGTAATAAAGCCAGTCGAGACGTTTAATCAGGCATGTCTGGAGTGGTTATTTTGATTTTTTTTAATATGGAAATACTGATGATGATGATGATGATGATGATGAAATTAAGCCCAATAATAATAATGATATTAATACTGTTATTATACATGAAAAATATTGGCAAAAGAACAACAAATATCAGAATGTGATACAACGGGTAATTCAGCGAATATTTACAGCGATGCAGGAGGGTAATGGGAAGAATGTTTATTGTATTAAACATGAGAGATTGTGCAAGAGGGTGGCTATTGAGAGATAGAGGGAGGGAGAGACAGACAGACGGAGGGAGGGAGAGAGAGATAATTTGGAGCTTCAGTTTTTGTCTCGCCTGCGTAGCAAAAAAAGCGAGACATAGGCGCCGCTTTTCCGGTGACGGCGGCGACGGCGGCGACGGCGGCGGCGACGGTGGCGTCAACATCAAAAACTTAACCTAAAGTTAAGTTTTTTTTAAGGGTAATCAAGTATCCCCAATCATGTGAGTAGAATTTCAGATCACAAAGTCAAGGTCAAAGGTCATTTCAGGTCAACAGACTTGGACTATGTTGTAGCATCATCATCGAAAACTTAACCTAAGGTTAAGTTTTTGAATTTTTGATATAATTTTGAAAGTATAAGTTCTTAGTCAATGAAACTTGAACTATAGGGTTATCAAGTCTCCCCAATCATGTGAGTAGAATTTCAGGTCACTAAGTTAAGGTCAAAGGTCATTTAAGGTCAACAAACTTAGACTTTGTTGTGGCATCAACATCAAGATTTTCAAAATGCTTCTTCTTCGTCATTTTTCAACCGATTTTGATTCTGATTGTTTCATGATAGAGCTAGGAGGGGGATTTAAAACTTCTACACAGAATCGTGAAATTCATTATCTATGCTAATTTATGCAAATTTATTCGAAATCACAAAAAAATGCTTCTTCTCCTTCATTTCTCGAATTTTGAAATTGTTATCCATTAATGAATTATGGTAATTTATGCAAATTTATTCCAAAAATAACAAAAATCTCTTCTTCTCCCTCATTTCTTGACCGATTTTGATTTGGTTTGCCTTATCTGGTAGAGCTAACTTTGGTGCACTAAACTTCTACACAGAATTTTGAAATTGTTCTCCATAAATTAATTATGGTAATTTATGCAAATGAAATGAAATTATGTCCCTTCCAGGGCATCAAATTTTAATTTTTTGACCAGTTCAAAAGTGTACCACATAAAAATTTACGATATTTTTTGTTGCGAGATGCGGATGAGCGCTTAGCCTATAATCTAGGCGGAGTGCCTCACGGTTCGTAGTCTCGCCGTATCAGACGTTCTGCTTAGGGTTAGTCTAGCAGCAAAGAAAAAAGCTCGGCACTCCGCCTAGATTATAGGCTAATGAGCGCTACGTCATAGACGTTCTGGTTTATCATATTGAATTGCGTTATGCAGGCGAGACCGCCGAGAGCGTTTCCCTTGTTTATTCTTAACCATGCCCTTGAAGTTAATGATAAATAATAATGGCTCGTTCTTTTATAACGCCTTACAGATAAGTATATTATTACCCCGGTCATTGGATTCAGGCTTACCCGTTCACAATGTATGCACATTCTCCACTCCCCGGAGAGCAGCCAGGCGTCATTTTTACGTCATTGTTACATACATACTGTCACCTGCCATGGTTAATCTTAAACAAGTCGAGAAAAGAATCAGGCTTACTTTCACTTCTACCTCATGTTATAGGCAAACGTTGTTTCCCAGGGTCATCTATCATTATCTCCACCCACGTGTTTACTGGGTACCTCCTTTCAGGGACGTCAATCCTTTTTAAAATGTGGGGGGGGGGCACAATGGAGTAAAATATGAAGTGGCGCGTCCCCAGGGGAATGTCTGAAGGGTGTCGTCCCAGGTGTCGTTCCCTCAGAAGTTGAAAGAAATTCGAATTTTCAAACTCACTTGGCGCGATTTGGTGCACACTTTCTAGTAATATTAGACTGAAAATCATTGACTAGATTCCAATGGATTTTTTTTTCCTGAAAGGGGAATATCTTCTG